AAGTGGTGGTGCCCATAATTTCATGAGCCTAGGAGCCCAAAAATGTCAAACAAGCACTGTTTCACAGTCTACTATAGAATTGCAAGTGAATGCTGTTAAGAGATTGTTAACAGTCATCATGCAAGCCATAGAAAATGATGTCAGGCCTCACCAATTACAGCACAAATCTGATATTATGCTAAAGTTGATCTTGTCAAACAAATGTTTTAAAAGTGACAGCATCTGAATTCATTTCAGTAGAGGTACACAGAAGTTCCTGTTCCTTACCAATAGACAGAATTCACTGAATACTCTGTAAATATAACCTTTTAAAATCTGTCTATATTTCCAAGAGGTGTTGTAACTATTTACACTCTGAATATTGTTCGGACTGTTGTCATCTTTATTATCATTATTCATATTTCGGCCTTCTTCAGGTGATATTTGGAATTTTGAACTGAACCCTTTACTTCGTCCACCAAAATAAATTGTTCTAGTTATACATGACATGCCTTTACTGATATCTTAGTTTCAGTTATTTCCCTTTAGTAACACTCCTCTGCTGTGGCCAGGTATTGAACTCACAACTTTTTGAATCACTAGATTACTTCAACCAATGCTTTTATCTGCTGGGCCATGTATCAAATATGACCTGACGAAGGCTGGAGCATACAATGGCTGAAACATTGTGAATATGGTAAAGATGAGGACAACAGAAGTGAACATTGAAAGACTTTAGTTGCTCATCAAAATAAGTGGTTCATAATGATGACAGACCAGTGATGGTTTTCTTTTTACTTATATTTGTTACTAGCTTAAAAGCCACCCTATCAGGCAGCATTTAAGCTAGCTCCTGTGGAGGGCTCGATTGAGCCTTCGTCACAATAGGTAGGGAGTAGATGCAATAGGCAACAATAAATTACAGAACTCAAAATTGATTGCTGCATTTAAGTATTGCATTAATATTTAAGCTTACCTTTTAAAAGTTCAACAATAATTCTGTTGCCACCACTTAAGTTAAAGACAATTTGATGCATGTAGGTCCTTACTTTCCATATCAACAATTATTTTTATTTCATGGGTAACTTTCACTGGATTTCGCAATTAATTTCACTTATTCTCAAATCCATTCCCAAGTTATAAAAATTGTTATCATATAAAAAATTTTTTTGCAAAAATCACAGTAATGAAAACTTGGGAATAAAAAAAGTTCAGGATTGTGGGTCCTGATCCATACCAGAATATTTTTAATTTGCTCATGGAGTCAGTCCAATTCCAAAATGTTAGCTACAACCTCTGGGAGTAAAGTTGAAAAAAGTGTGACACACTGACATTTGCATTTATCATATATATTAGATAAAAAAAAAAAAAAATTATTCTCTACAACATATAATTTTAATGTTTTTGTTATTTTTATTTTTGAATCCTTAAAGAATTTTTCTGAAATAAACAGATTCATTGGATTGGACTGATTGTTGTTTTACAGTTTATCAACCTTTTGCAGGTTATTTAAAGTCAGAAAATATTTTTAGATTAAGAATTTTCAGGATATAATAATGATTTACTTATACAATCCTATTAATTAACCCATAGCTGGGGAGATAAAGAAGTGGGTTCATACATTTCTCAAAAGTATTTGTGCATAAGTGAATATAATGAACCCAACTGGAATTGGAACTCAGCTCTCGGATTTCCAATCCAGAGCTGTTATTACACCACCTGCACATCCAAACTTGCAGCACCTTGTATTCTCATGTAGTCACCCATCTAGGTACTAACCAAACTTGACACTGCTTAAATTTTGTGATTGAACAAAAACTGGTGTTTCAATGTGATATGATTGTAAGCCAATTCATTAGGGAAAAACTTAACATAAAAATTCAAATGAGAAAAGAGCTTATTTTGGATGAACACGTATTTGGGAAACAAACATGAAAAAAATCCATGGCTGTTGGTGCCAGGAGGAGGAAAATTGTGATTATAAAAATATAATTGTAATTATCAGTAAAACAATGACAACAAAACTTAAACATTTTTATCAATCATGTAAGACAGGATTATTCTGATCATAAAAAAATGATGATGGCTTTCTAAGGTCTCAACTGAAATACTGTTGTTAATATTAGACTGTCTTTCTGTGGTAAGGCACTTCATCAATGAAACCTATAACCTAACTTCAGGATTCCAAACTTTCAAATTATTGGGTGAACTGAATTCAATGTGTCCTTCAGTTTGCAAAGGTGGAATTATAAACCCCAATCTCTACTAACTCATATTTTTAAACATTGCTGGGAATGAGGAAGAGGATTCCACTCAGTTTTGAATTCAGAGTTGTTTCCACCCACCACCCCAAATTGGTTGCCAATCAAGGCTATAGAGCCCAGTTTTCCCTGCTACTTCTAGCCAGGGTAGGGAAGAGAAGGGAAGATTAATGACGGCCAATATTATTAAGTAAACAGAATCTGTTTCAGTAAGAATTTGAACACAGCTTCCCAATTCCATTTCCTCTTCTATTTGCCATCAAGCCAACTGCAGCATCAACCTCATCATGTGGCTAATTACAAAACCAAATATACAAAACATTTGCTTCTTGCTAGAGCAATGGGCTGACAACAGTTCAGAAGGTAAAATTTTAAGCTTAATAAAAGTTTCTAATTTAGCAAAAAAGCTTAAAAATAATTGTATAATTTGTCAAAAGGAATAAATCAAAATTGTAAAAAAATGAAAAATTTCAGTGTGAAAATGAGTGTCTACAAGATTTAAACAAAAATACATTTTTTCTGATGATTACTTTTTAGTTTATTTACAACACAAGAATTATACATATCTTGTATGTATAAAAATGTCTTCAAAATTAAAAAAAAAAAAAAAAAAAAGAAAAGGACTCCATGCTGCTAAGCTTCCCCTCAAGGCGTTCCACCCTGCATTCTTCTGAGATCCACATGCTTTATGATGAACACTTATGCCTGCCAAGTTGTATTATGTTGAGTTGGGTTGTTCGTGGCTTTTGACTCATTGAACAAGAATTATTAAGAAAATGAGGAAATCTTTTAAAAGATTTTAGTTTCCTGAATGAAAGGGAGAGTAAGATTTTGGAAAAAAAAAAAAAACTTTTGTAATGGAAATGTAAAATAATTTATAGAAACAAAAACTGATTGCTGCAATTGATTGCAATAAAGAAGGAATATTGTTTTTGTGCAGGGTAGGGAAGAAAAATATAAAGATATCCAATAGTTCAGCAAAAACAAATAATCATTGACAGGGGTGGGAAGTTGTTTATAGAAAGAAAAATCAATTTGAAATTTTATGGGACATTCACTGATAAATGTTGATCGACATGAAATGCCAAAAATTTCTTCAGCCTATTGTTTTGTTTTTGTTTAGTAATTAAACAGTTTAGAAGAGAAAATTTCTCTTCAATTTTTTTTTTTTTTTTGTAATAAAGAACTTAGTTTGTTTTGCAGACAAAGTTCAACAGCAATTGACCAGATTTCAATTTCTGTAAGGACAGAAGCTGTTTTTCTAGGAAAGTAAATGACACATTCACAATTCTCATATTATACAAAATGTTTTGCTGAAATCATAAGGAAAAAACAAAAGCTGAATTTCCTTTTTTTTTAGAGCCCGATTCTATTCAATTGAATTGCCTAACAAAATTGTCATCAAATCAATGATTAATATTTTCTTCCTAAAATGAAAAAAAATTGTCTTTAAACCCTGAAAGAATTGATGGACTGAAATCATTTTTATTGCTTCCATTATTTGATATGAAAAAAAAATAAAAAAATAAAAAGCCAAAATCTTAAAAATGACTAAATTGAGTTTCTATTATTTAATAAAACCAAATATGAAAAACATTATTGGATGGCAAAAGTTATGCACTCTGAAGAGAAATAAAATGAAATTAATAAATTTACAGAAAAAAAAAAGGTTTCATGACCAATTCGCCTGATGAAGAAATGTTTTGCAAGCAGATGCAAAACATTACTGTTTAATATTGAAGAGTGTATTAATGTAAGGTTAAATTATTTAAATAGCATTTTGGCTCAAAAATTTCAAAATACTTTCATTTCGTTTTTTTTTAATTTAGAACTCAGATTTTGTTTTGACAATGTTTCAATTATTTTTATCTCTGATCTGCTTCCAAGTTTATCATGATTGCGTCTAATTATTGGTGTCATTGCACCAGAAGATAGCAAACTGATATTGAATTCTTCAGCAAAAACTAAATTAAGAAAAAGATTTGATCTGAATTCTCAAAACTGAAATCACCGCATTACGGTCCCAAAGAATCCAAAAGGAAATTGGTTGAATATGAACTGAAAGAGCAGAACTGTCTGAACAAAAAAGCAAAATTTTGCTTTTATTTTTTTTATTTTTTGTTTTTGAGGTCAGATTGGTTTCATTTGTAAATAATGATGAAAGTAGCAGTAAAATTTCCTAATAATTAGTCAAAAGTTCAGCTCAACGACTTTTACAGTTCAACCAGAAAAAGACACAAAAGCTCAATTTTCCCAGGTTTTCTAAAATCATTTTTGTCTATATTTTCATTAACAGCCTAATTGGTTGATATACTGTATATTTCTATCAAATCACAATTGAACTTTAGGGAGAAATTGCTTGCTTCTCATATTTTAAGAGCTTTCATTTTAAAAAAGAAAAAAAAAAAAAATTATGTTATTCTAAAATCTCGAAACTATATTGTAAATTGAGCACTTTTTGTGTAATCTCAATAGAGACTCCAATTTAAGAAATCTTACATATACAAATAGGAAACAAAGAATGAAATTTATCTCTCTCTCTCACACACGCACATATGCATGTACACAAAGCATGGTGAATGTGTAGCAGAGGGTATAATAACAATAATAATAATAATTGCAGAGCCATGAAGGGAAAGTGGAAGTCAGACGGTACCAAATCCATCCAGCACACAATCATGATGACTATGATTATAGCCAACCTACAAGAGCAGCACCTTGACCAAACAAGGCAGCCATTACTAATTTGTCAGCCATTCCTTAGCCAACAATGAGACCAACTCCAAATCGATATTGAGATTTAGTGTGGTTGGCATAACCACTCAAGGCAAAAGTAAATGGGAATGGCAGCAGTTTTTTCTCCAAGATTGCACCGACACACCAGTTTGTATCTAGCTGACCTTGAAAAAAAAAAAAAAAAAAAAAAAAAAAAGAGGATAAAAATATTATTAGGAACTCCTTGGAAATTGAAATGAGGGCATCTTTACAATTTAAAAATTAAGAATAAATTAAAAATTCATCAGTTTTAAGAATAGAGACACTTTAAAAAGGAATTTCATCCAGTAATATTAAAATATCCTCTTTAAAGTTAAAAAGATAAACAAATAAATAATAAAATACATTAATGATAAAAAAAAAATCCTACTTTTTTGCTGAGCAACTCTTAAAAAAAAACATCATTTATTACTACAAACATTATAGATATGGTCTTACATAGACTTGCTAAAAAATGTTTAACTTTTCACTAAAATTTAAAAAAAATAACTATGTGCAAAAGTTCCTCAAATTTTCTTTTTTGAATAACAGAGACTGAATACAGAGCAGAATATAATTATTTTTATAATTAAAAAAAAATAAAAAATAAAAATCTAATATGAAAAATTAAAAAAAAAAAAAAATGTTTTTTTTAAAATGGTGGGAATCGAATATGAACTGAAAAATATTTTAAATTATTTTAGGGAATGAAAATAGAAACATTTTAAAAATGTTTTTCTAACTTAATGATAGTTAAAACTTGTCACACATCACAAGAAAACCAAACTCCATGAATTAAAGTCAAATTTTAGTGATTCCAAAACAATTACTATTATATTATTATAATTTCTCAGTGTGTAACTGCTTTCAGTATCTGTCTATATTTCTGAGATGAGGTATTATGTACATTATTTACATTATTCGGACTATTGTCTTCATCTTTGTTGCCATATTTATTACAATGTTTCGGCCGGAGTGCACAATTCTGAAACATTCTAATAAATATGGCAACAAAAATGAGGACAATAGTCTGAATAATGTAAATAATGAAACTGCTTTCATCTTGCTTTTTGATGCAAGACACAAGTTTATGGAGTTTAAATGGTGACTGTGTTGATTACTGTGAATTAAAACCATATTGTCTACTTTAGAAAAAAAAAAAAAAAAATGCCTGAAGTTTGGTATAAGGGACAATTGCTCATAGGAAAACACTTCCAGCAAAATTGGGTAATAGAGAATGACAGAAAACAAAAACCTCATGAATGTGAAAACATGAATTTTTCTAAACATTTTGAAGTTCCCCCGTTCTTTTATTATGCACATTTTTCAAAAGGAAACTGAATATCATCTTGTTGTAATGGAATGCCTCTCTCACTCTCTATCATTATATGGACTGACTATATCAGTAGATATATATATAGTAAGCACAGGATATACCTGGCAGAATTGCTTCAGGAATTAGTTGGAGATTCATCTCCGGCAGTGCTGGTTGAACTCTCTGCCTTCAAGCAGAGAGGAACCCAGATGAGGCTATGCCGAAGGGCAGAGTCTCGTCTGGGATGGTAGACAGCTACCCAACCCTGTGTATACGGGGGAATTTTTGCTTGAGCCTACAGGCTCGGTTTTTCCCTGCTTTAAAAAATGGCCTTGTGCCACATCCTGCCTCATGGGTAAGTAAGGTAAATATCCTTGCTTCGGGAATTACTAACTTGCTAACTGATTACTTGTCTTTCAGCAGTGTATTCTCTTATACAATAAACCTCACTTTCTTTCATCTACGTGTGTGTTGCTGTTCCTTTCACTCAAGTACCACCTTTGTCTGTAACCTTCTTTAAGGATACAACACATTTTATGTTTCACTAACAAGTAAATAATGGTCATATAGCAATGGTGAAATTAGCCAGTTCAATCCAGGAAACATGTGGCATTTATTAACCAAACTGTGTTACTGTCAGTTAAAATTTCTAAAATCTTTCTACTAAAACATTTTTTTATGAAAATACATTTCTCAAGTCTACTGATACTTCTCTTTCTAGTATTGATGGGAGTTTCCTTACTAACCTTTTGTTTATGGTAGTGTGGAAAGTCATGGTCTTGATTATATCATTATTTCTTATTCTAGTTACATGTGCTAACCATTTTCTTTAGTTGTTGCTGTTGGAAAGTGTTCAAGTGATTTGATTTTTGTTATCTGGTAAAGTTCTTTCTTTGAGAATTTGTAGGGCCAGTAAGATCTGATGGCAGATTGTCTTAAGAGTTAAAGGATTCAATCACTTTATGCTATTTTTAACTATTAATCTGAGAAAACATTGGCATATAGATGATAGTTTAGACTTTTCTGAAAGCCATGAAAGCCATGCAAGATGTGAGAGTTTTGATTTGATGAGTCTATTCAAGAACATACAGTTCTAAATAAGTCTTAAATATTCAAAATCTTTACTTATATATTCAATGTTTTAAATTTGAGTGATTAAGGGAAATCAACATCACTCAGCCAAGTGAGGATTCAGAAGAAAATAACTAAAAATATTTTTCAAGCATTTTCAAAGTGATCTTTTTGTTTTTGCTTTGTTTCAGTTTGGTTTGTTTTATGGCATGTCAACACCTCAATGGGTCATTTAATGCCGACAAGAGTTTTACAGAAAGGTTTGTATGAATAGAATAAGTATTCTTTGTAAGAAACCAGTTACTTTCTAGACCAGGTTTCAATGGCATATTTTTGTAAAGAGGGTTTGGTTTATTTTGCTTTACAGCATATCAACTGGAGTGGGTTATTTAATGCTGATAAATTTTTAGGATATGTTTGTATGAATAGAATATATATTCTTTATAAGAAATCAGTTTGTAGATCAGGTTTCATTGATGTATTTTTGTGAAGAGGATTTTTGTTGAGATTCTTTTTCTACAAAAATGTATTGCTATTTTTTTACTATAAAAATCTATTTTTATACTTTCATAGTGTTTTGACCCCAGTTTAGAGGTTAACCATTTACCCACAGTTGGGACCTTAACAGATGCTACCACCCTGGGTCAGGGTGGACCTGGGAGCAACAGCAATTAAACCTCCCAATTAGAGACCTTGCTGCCGGATGTAGTTTATTATCGCACCCAGGATTGTACCTTGTTTCAATTTTTTAATCAAATAGAAGGCAGAAGAGGCAGAGACAAAAGAAAAAAAAACTAAACAAAACCAATGCTCACCTCTAAACGTCATTCCAGCATTTGGAATTTCATACTGATAACCAGCAGTGGTAACACTTTCCTGAAGACGAACATTGGTTTCAAGTTCAATACCAACCTCCAAATTTTCTGCAATTTCCTGATAATAACACAAATGAACACCTCCAGCTGCTAAACTACAATTAGCAGACAGTTGCCATTTATCAGCTTAAAGAAAACGAGGAAAAAAAACAAAAAAAAACAATGAAATTATTTTGAATCAGTTGAAGAAGGATATAAATACATTTTGCAAGAAGGAATTTCAGAAACACAAGTGGGTATAAGATTATCCTGATGGAGGAAGTTTGCTCTCAGTTACTTGCAAGATCTTTCTTTTTTTTTTAATCATTTCACCTTAAGCAAGGTAATAAAGCCATTAAGATGCAAGGTGTTACCGAGTGTGAAAGGGGGAACAAAAAAGAAAAAAAGAGGACAATAAAAGAACAGGAATCAAGAAAGATGATAATAATTGACATGGCATCTACATTTTTGAAGGTCAAAGTTGACTGGTAAGTAAGAAGCCAGAAGAGAGTTCCACATACAAGTATGGGAGAAGAAACTGTTAGCATAGAACATTTCATCTGTAAAATGATGTGACCTTGCCTCCAATCTAGTACTGTGCTTCAATTCATAAAATCTAGGTACCATAGAAGAAAGTTCAGCAGAACAATTACCATGAAAGGATTTATAAAAAAAGGCACAGAAAAGCTACATTACAGTGGTGGGTAAGTGACTGAAGCTGAGATGGCAAGTCAGGACTAACAATGTTGCAGATTCTTTGGATTTTTATCAAGAATTTCTAAATATATAGCTGAAGATCCAGACCAGATGTGACAGCAATATTCAAAGCATGCATAAATTTATTAACCAAAGCAACACAAGTAAATTTTAGGATATAATTTTAAAAAATAACGATCTGATATTTGTGTATTTATCCTTGTAACATAGCAAAAATAGCACATTAGTGGAATAATGTCAAAATGCTGTAACTTTAGTAATAAAGCAATTCCAAATTCAATTGGGCCACTAGTTTCCAAATCCTTTTTGATGGAGTGGGAGGAGTCAATCCAAAGTGGGTAGCTACAAATGTACTGACTGCTAATTACAGTGTGTCATTTCCCCAAGTTTTCATAAGAAAATGACAAGAATAAGCAGAGTAGAATCCTTGACTGGTCTGACATCTGTTGACAGTTATTATGACATACCAATGACAATACTTTAAAATAAAAATAATTAAGCTTTGTGATAATTAACAACTGCAAATAATCATAATATAAATTTTATATACAGGAAGTAACTTGACAGAACTGAGGCATTCATGTGAGTTTTAATAAAATAAAATTTTTTAAAAAAATGTGAAAGGCATATATATATATATATATATATATATATATAAAATGAAAGTGCTGTGAGCATGAAAGCAAAAAAAAGTAAATATTGTTTTTTACTTCTTTATAACTTGATGGCAAAAGTAGATTGCGTAGTACATTGAGGTAATGACTGGCTACAGAGGAAAAATGTAGTAGCAGCTGACTGGCACCTTTATAAAGCCATGTTTACATAAAAAGAAACACTTCTCTAAGTGCTTCTCTCCAGATAGTCCATAAGTAGTACTTTTCTTTGTTCAGATATTTAGATTTTGGGATTCCAACTGTTGTTAATAAAAGTGTACCTTTTTCTACCGACAGGCTTTTATTATTTTTATTTTATGTAATTTTGTTATTTGTTAACGGAGATTTGCTGACTCTTCTAAAAACCTGTACCAACTATCCTGACCATCAGAAAAAATTCCAGCTAAATTGTGTCATCTCCCTTCTGTGGATCTTTTAAACACAGCCTGGATGCAGAAATTGACAGAATAACTAGTCAGAAATACATGTTGAAGTTATGGAAGTAAGAGCACAACTGATGCTGTGACTAGCATAAGACAATATTTTCATAAAATTTCAACTTTAGTATTTGATTTTGTTCTGTATTTCTTGATTGAAAACAATTTTTATGGCATAGATACCTGCTCAGGAGATATACATACCACTTCGATTATTTTATCTTCTCAGTGCATATAACTGTTGTTGAAAAGAACAGTTTGTGCCATCTAAATAAAACCTAGCATTGAAACATCTAAAAATCATTCAATTTAAGAATCAGATTCACATTAAAAAAAATAAAAAAAATAATACAGAAATAAAATTTCTTCTTGAAATAATGAACAATATCTTGAAAGCAAATCATGTTTTTGCATTTAGTCCAGATAGTGGTGAAAAATATTTCTAATATCAACTTTTAGGAATTTAAATCCTTACCAAATTTATTAACTTTGCAAAATGCTATGAAAATGCAGAGAAAAGCAATATAGTAAAAATGCAGGTTTTATGATTACTTTTGAAATACTTTTAAGAGTCTTAAGTTCAATCCATAGGAAGGATGTTAAAGTATTATGAAACATTTTGCAAATTTGATGTAAGTCTAAAGCAAAATATGGTTTCACAAAAAATAAAGGGTTTATAAATATCTTCATTAAAGACAGAATAAAAAAAAAAATCATGTAAAAATGACAAATGATTTGTCGGTCACTAAAAAAAAAAATAAAAAATCTTAGATTATTTTTTTTTTTTTTTTAACAACATTCATTTTTCAAGATTTGTTTAGACAATGCTGTGTACATATACAAGAACAGATGTGAAAAGATGAGCACTGATCCTTCAAGCATTCCATACCATATCCCAAATGAATTCCAAATAGAAAACAGTGTTTCTGTTTTCCTTGCTGACATAGGTATTCATAGTTGGAACAAAAATGATCTTGAACAAAAAAAAAAAAGTCAACATCCTTTACCAAATGTTCCAAGAATTAGGATTGAAGATAAATCTTTCCAAAATATGATCTGGATTTAGAAGGAAAGCAATGATGGCATCTACCCTGAATCCACAATGAAAATTCAGGATGTGGAATTAATAAATACTAAACACTATAAATGCCTTGGTGTATGAATTGGTTATAACAAATGTAGCACAGGAGATAAGGAAATTGAATATAGAATATACTGTACTAGAGGTAGTTTTTTTTGCCAAACACCAAAAATTGCTAGAAAACCAAAACTTTAACCTAAGAATTTGAGTTATGTCTTCTTAAATAGCCTCATCAGATTGAGACATTCATATGGATGTCATGCATAGCATCCAACCCATTCAGAAATGTCTTGTCAATAGTATAAATCTACTTTAAATGGCTTTGAGCAAATGAACCCTATAGGTTTTAGAGAGGACCTTTCTTTATAAGACTGGCACTGCAGAATCACAAAGAACAGAAACCATATCATTTGAGGATTTTCAACAGCAGCAACAAATAAAATGGATAGTACATGTAACTTGAAAAGAAAACAATGACATAATCAAGATGTTGACATTCCACACTACTTTTAACAAAAAGGTCAAGAAAATGAAACCTCCATCAAGACTGGAAAGAGTGATAACGGCTACTGTATTTGAGAAACCTATTTTTATGAAAAATAATTTTAATAGAAAGATTTGAAAAATTTCAGCAGACTTTAGGATTGGTTGTTTTTTCAACGAATGCCAAATTTTTCCATTGAAGGAAATGGCTAATATTACCAACAGCCTTTTTCAAGTGTGTAATTTGTTATGAAATAACAGAAAATGGTTATGAATATACTAACTAGAACAGTTTATTCCAGTAATACAGGTTATTCTAATTTATACATGGATGATAGTGTGGTGGAGTTTCCAAATTCCTCTCTATTGAGAAGATAGAAAACCAAAATCAATATTGGCCAGTCTTATGTCACTAAACAAATCATTGCTTCTTTCAATTGTGTCTTTTGTCAATATTATCTGGACTTAATTCCAGTAAACTATATCACTCTCAAATACCGTCTGCCATATCAGTTTATTTTCTTATTTTTTTTTTTTATATATCTCCATAGGATATGGCTTTTTTGTTCTAAGAGTCTGATTTTAAAAAAAAAAAAAAAAAAGTCTGAATTCTCTCCCTTATATTATTTTCCAGATTTGCATGAAACATTAGTAATAGTAATGGTAAAATTAACCATTGTCACACAGGAAACATTATGCATTCATTAACCAAATAGTGTCACTGTCAGTTCAAATTTATAAAATCTTTTTCTTAAAACTTTTTTTTTTTAAGGAAATTAGACTTGCCAGGTACAGTGTTTGGGCTCTTTCTAGCATTGATGATTGGAATTTCTTTCCAAATTATTTTTTTTGTCATGCAGAAAGTCAACCTCTTGATTATGACATTATTTTCCCTCATTTTAGTTGTTGCTGCTGTTGGAAGTCTTCAAGTGATGTGACTATTGTTATTTAGTAAAAAACTTTGTGATTTTGTAGTATCTGTAAGTACCCAATGAAGGATAGCATTTATTAATACCTAAAGGATTCATTCATTCATGCAATCTTTTGTCAGAGAGTGACAATAGAATGGTTTGACCAAAATATTGTGGTATAAATATCAGCAACACAAAGGAGTTCAATTGTCTGAAGGCTTGAAATATTAATTGTTAATTTTTGTTAAAAAAATTAAAACAAATTCTTCATTTTAGTATTGAAATATCTTTGAAGGCCAGTGCTTTATAGCTTACCTGTGTATTTCCCCGCTAAAGATAACATGGCCATTTCATTACCAGGTAAAGTAGAGCCATATTGATACAAGAGTTCAGCTCCAAGCATTAAAGAGGGACTCACTTTTTGTAAATACTGAGCAACAGCAATTCCTACAAAAACAGAAACCATAAATACATCTATTTAGTTTTCAGTTTATTTAGTTTTCCACTGAAATTTTAACAATTTTTGATTAAGCTTTTGCATCGTTTGATTTTCTCAGTTATTATTAAGAACTAGTCAGCTCCAAACATTTTTTAAATGTTTCATTTCAAATTTAAATATATAGTGTACCATGTAAGTGACATCATGTGTTTCATAGTGTGACAGCAACAGAACATTAAATATTTTATACAGATTATAATTTTATAAGCATTTTAAAGAATTCATACACATTTTAAAATGCTGTCTCATATGGTGAAATTTTTATATAATAATGGCTTTTCAGTCTTTCTTTAATGGTGAGTGCAATTATTTAACATTATCTATTAATATTTGTCTTATGTTAATTGTTGTATTTTTCATTTTAAAACATGTTTAAAATATGCACAAAACAATTATAATGCATATAAAATATTTTATATATATATATATATATATTTGTTCTGTGAAGCCATCTAACTAATGATATCATATATGTATATTTAAATTTAAGATATTACTTCAAAAGAAAGAAAAAAGGCCAGGATGTAGCTAACAAAGGTCTTTATAATACTGCCAGCATTTAGTTCTTGTTAATGAATTAGTTTAAATTACTTGAGCAAAATATGAACTGTGAACAGTTTATCTGCAATTTTGAATAGGATGAGCAAAAACTTATCAAAAACTGGAAAATACAATAAAGAAAATTAGTACTTAATCAGTTGAATTTAATCAAACTTGTTTAAATGAATTCTTGTTGCTTAAATTATATATATACTAGGAGTAGAGCCCGGCGTTGCCCGGGGATAAAACAGTAAGAGATAGATCAAGTATCCACCATCATAAAGACTGAAAAATAAAATTGACAAAGATTATTGTTTAAGGTTGATGGACACGCATGTCTTAATTAGTTTTATTTTTTTTTTTTTTTTTTTTTTTTTTTTTTACGAATTGGTCAAACCCAAACTCAAACATTGTTTTCAATCGTTTATGAGTCTACCGATTGAATAGAATTTTATTATAAACAATTGTCTTGTAAATGGAATTTTTTAAAGCATTCTGAATGTAAAAATAAAAAAAAAAAGTGTGCAAGACAATAAGAAACACTACATGCCAAAAAAAAAAAAAAAAAAAAAGTGAAGTTTTGTTGAAATCGGTTGAAAAATGTAGGTAGCCTTTCTGTAATCTTTTAGTTTTACAATTTATGATTTTTACTTATTGAATACAGTAAAAAAAATTGCATATTTTGCTTGTGGTGATTCATAATTAGAATTCTGATTTGAATATATTTTCCACTCGTTGTTTCTAATACAAAAAATATTAACTTTATTTGGGTTTATTAATTATGATCTAACAAATCTTATTCATTTAGTAGCCTTTCTGTAATAATAATCTTTTACAATTTATGATTTTTACTTATTGAATACAGTAAAAAAATTGGACACCATGTGTATTTAAAGTAGTTTCCCGTTCCGGTTATTATTTTTAGTTAGGACTTGTGTATGTTTAGATTTCATTATCTTTCCCTAAAGATAAAGAATTTATTCCGATGTTTGTATTCGTACAATCAGTAGAGATCGTTAGATTATTGTTTAAGGTTGACGGACACACATGTCTTAAAAAAATTTTTTTTTTTTTTTACGTATTGGTCAAACCCAAACTCAAACAAAAACATTGTTTTCAATCGTTATGAGTCTCCCGATTGAATAGAATTTTATTATAAATAATTGTCTTGTAAATGGAATTTTTAAAGCATTCTGAATGTTAAAAATAAAGAAAAAAGTGTGCAAGAGAATAAGAAAAACTACCTGCCAAAAAAAAAAAAAAAAAAAAGTGAAGTTTTGTTTTATCGGCTGAAAAATATAGGAAATCCGCTCCCATATTTAAAGGAACCCAAACACACAAACAATCCGATGTGAGTTGTCCCCCTTCCATTTTCACAATGTCTCTTAATCATGTTTTCAAATTGATTTTGTGCAAAAACAATTATATTTTTCCCATTTTTGGCGCTGTTAGAAGCACCACAAGGTAATTTTATGTAGTCCTGTGAAGTTTTGTTGAAATCGGTTGAAAAATGTAGGAAATCCGATCCAATATATAACCGTTACAGACAGACACACACACACACGATCTGCGTTTTATAATAAGTAAGATATATGTGTGTGTGTGTGTGTGTGTGTGTGTGAATAAAAAGAGAAGAGAAAAAACTATTCTTAGCCAACATGTTTCATCCTCTGAACAACTTTATCAAAGCAATTTTGTTTCACGTGTTTATATACAAAAACGAAGATATCATTGGTTTATCAAGGCTTTTAAATTCGAGAATGTTCATGAATGTTTATCGGGTGTTTCAAAGGTCAGTCAAAACATATGGAAGACACAAAATATCATAATTCAAAGTCTGGTAAAAAGCCAACAATATTCTAGAAATTTTTTTAATTAATTTTTTTTTTAATATTGTGATTGGATTGTTATGGTATTACTTTTTTTTATATAAACACGTGCAACAAAAATCCTACATTTTTTGATAAACGTCCCTCCCCATTTAGAAACAGCATCAACTAAGAATTTTTTTTAACATTTTTTATTCATTTTGTTCCTCTACAGATACACTATCTGAAAATAATTTACACATACACATGCATAGAAATAAAATATAAATGGTTATATTAAACAAATACACTAAAAGACAATGAATGAGCTAAGAAAAAAGAAATAGTGACCTGATTCATTAATTATATCTACATTGCCTAGCGTACAGGAAACGGTGTAGTTATCTCCCCTGTAATCCGTAGCAAATTGTGTCGCAAGCCATTTGCTATTCTGAATCTGGAAAAAATAAAAATATGTAAGAAAATCAATAACTGCTACAAAAGTGGTAAATTTTAAAAACTGATGTTATTGTATTGAATAAAATTACTAGATTAATGATTGATTAAACATGAAAATAATTCAACAACTCTACGAAATGATAATTTACAATATAGAATAAATATACGAAATTATGGTTGGTTAAATAATGGCAACTCTGTCAAAAATAAAATATCAACAGTTTACTCAGAAAAATCATATTCTGATTATCAGCAGTTTATACTTAAGAGAAGAAAGTTTAGTTTTTGACAAATATTATACAAATTCAGTATTGCCTCAATTCTATTATCACTTCATTTTTAGCAAGGCATTCAAATATAGCCATAACCAAAGTGAAAAGTGTAAATAAAAATAGTCATTTAAAATTAAATTATTTAGTAAACAGCAGCAGTGATTGTAAGAGAGGTGTAATGAATCTGACTTGTAAAATTCTGTGGGGAAATTTGTCAGCCATAAATCTGGCCAGGTTGGTACTACTCATTAACAATGCTCACCAAGTAAACAATGATTAACACTTGTAAAAGACGACAAAACTATAAAAGGCAAAATAAACGAATGACACAGGACATCAAAAGTAATTGGATAATTAAATAAGTTGAATATCTGTCACATGAAGATGGTAAGAAAATAGATGTTAGATTTAAAAGTAAGACAAACTCAACCAATATAAAGATGGAAAAATTAATAGTTAAATCTGTTTATGATGTAAAATATCTGTTTAAAGACTGTATCATCAGACTAAAATTGAGAAAGAAAAAAAAAAAAAATTCCCCTTCCTTAAAGAGAGTTTAAAACAAAAAGTTCTAAAATGTTTGGAAATCAAACAAGGATTCATTGATAACAGAGAAAATAAATTGCAATAATCTATACGAAATAATTTTGATAAAAAAAGAGATCTGAATGTTTCTTACCTGAGAAACAAATTTTGTTCGTAATCTCTCAGTAAATTGGTGAATGATATTAGCATTCATGTTACCAGAAACATCTGTATCACCAATCAATACTGGATAGGCCTAGAAAATCAGATTTTCATAAACAGAATTTAGTCAAATACAATGAGAGTTTCAAAGAAGAAATTTTCAAGCAAATTAAAAGATACATGTAAATAATTGCATAATAAATGACATTGAGTGAAAATAAAAAAATTTTTTTTTTTTTTAGATGAAGATTTTTCCTAGGAAAAAAAATGGTTAAATATTTTAATTTATAGTTTCATCAACAAAATTACATGCAAGGTAAATAAAATGCTTTGCAGGTGCCATTTTTTAAATGAAGAAATACAGTTGTCATTTAAAAACATGAAATTTGAAAACAACTGATTTAAAGTTTGCATCAGAATAATAAAAAATACTATAAAAGTCAAAACTGACTTTACACAGAATTCTAGAAATCAATGTAACAACAACAAATAATCCCAACTTTCTTGTTTACTTTTTAAACACAAACATGAATGATAATGATGAAAGTTTTCTTTTGTCATGAAGCTGCGAATAGACCAATGCTCATCTCCTAACATGACTTAGTTCTTTCTGGAATTAGAGACAAATTTTACTTTTTGGTGTGAGTTTATATAGGCTGGTGTTACGAGGGAAGAACAGACCAAGCACTTTATTATTTACATATATTTGGTTGATTTGGTTGTCAGCAAGTAGTAACTTTTATTATTTTTTTTATTTTATAAATTCATCATTTATTCGATTATTTGAATTGATAATTTTATTTTAAACAAAATTAGTTTTTCTTTTTTTTTTTTTTTTTATCAGAAAATAAATCTTGAACAACATCCAAGAGACTTCGAGTGACACTTTTATGGACAGATGCTTATGTAGAAGAAAAATAACTCATCATAGATGAATTACCTCCCTTGAAAGTTCATGATTTAATCGACTCAACTAAGAGACACCACGTAAAAATTACTGTGAATAAATCGTTCAAAGATAAATATATTTGTAGTTTGCGAAGAAAAAGAATAATTAAAAACAATAACAATGTAATAAATTGAGAATAAGTTCAAGGGTTACTCGAGGTTATTAACTAAGCTTTTGGTTAAACTGGATTCATTCTTAAAGAAATGTCAGACAAAATTTGGAGTTTCTTTACTTTTAATATTTTTCTGAACTCATTTTCATGAAAGCGAAATAAGAACAAGTGCTTCCTCGACTTACAAGAGAGTTCTGTTTCTATGATGCGTCATAACGCTATTTTCTGTGTAAGTCAAAACATACTCATGATTTTCAATGAATAAGCACTGATGTCACTCACCTATGCTAACTTAACACAATTGTAAATTAATAATCTAGGACATCACAACACATTTCTATGACATATTTTAAAGCATAATTAGGACTAAAAGAACACACAAAGGACAAATATAATCAAATGAAAACAATATATATAATTATAATGAAATGGAATTGTTTTAAGTTACTTGTATATTTACTGCCAGTGAAGTCATTTGCATATTAGTAGATGAGATGGCATTTTGAGTAGTGTGTACAGGGTAAACGGCATAATTAAAACAAAATTAATGGAAATTGCATCGTAACTATGAATTGATGTAGGTCAGGACTGTCATAACAGAGACTTAGTGTAAACACAAATTGTGTACATCTTACAATATATATATATATATATATATATATATATAGATAGATAGATAGATAGATAGAGAGAGAGAGATACCATTTTGTATATGTGTTTCTTTGTCTTCTATGTACCATGCCACTTCAAGACGTTGGCAATCATGGTCCTCCACAATTTCCTGTCCTGTGTAGCTCTTAATAAATTGTCTTTTTTGTTATCTCTCCTATACCTTACACTGCTATCCATTTACACAATCTCACTATGTAAGTTATACATTGTTTTCTTGTTACTCTTGACTTCAATGTCCTTGTGAGCATCACATTTTCCAAGCCCTCTTTCCTCATTACGTGTCCTAGAAATTTCAACTGTCTCTTAAGAATAAGCATCCTTTTTGGTTCCATTTTCTCTAAAACTTTGTTGGTCTCCTGTGATTATCCAGCATTCACTGCCATATAGGCCAACTGATATTATATAACAGTTCAATACTCTTCTTTGTTTCTAACAAAACTTTCCTAATTCTTAATATTTTGTTCAGCGTTTTGAAGTCATCTTTCGCTATTCCAAAGCGCTTTCAGATATCAGTGATGCACTTTCCAGACATTTAAATTGTTGTACTTGTTTGATTTTAGTATCTCCAATTTGTTGATTAATTTGTTTAATGGCATATCAACTCCTCTATGGGTCATTTAATGCTAAAATTTAATTTTTGGGGGAGCTTTGAAGTGATATTAATATAATTTGTTATTCTGCTTTCACAACTGAATACATGGTAGATGATATTCAGCTTCTGTGCATATACATGTTTGTATGGACATGATTACTAAAGGCTGTGATATGCGTTTTATGTCATAGTTTTGTTGAAGTTAGATTTTGGAATACAATTTAATTTAAGAAATTTTAGGATATTGTATGGATTAATGTCACAAAAGAATTCTTTCATGTTGGTTGTTTGGTTGAATTTGTTTAGTGGTATATCAACTTCTGGGTTATTTAATGCCAAAATTTAAATATTTTGAATGCAATTGTATGCCTTCAACTGCAGATAAAATGTATTATTGGTAATTTTACTATAAAAATTTATTTTTGTACTTTCATAGTGTTTTATTTGGGGGGTTTCACTATTTGCCCATAGCTTGGACCCTAACAGGTGCTACCACCCCAGGTCAGATCAGGGGCCTGGGAACAATTAAGAGGTGGATCCACACCCCTCAAAACCTCCCAAAAAGAAGCCTTGTTGCCAGATATAGTTTATTGTAATACCCAGGACTACAATTTGAAATATTGAGTTGTTCCTTTTGCTAACATTGTCTTTTTGCAATTGATATTTAATCCTTGTTCCTAGCTTTATTTCACTATAGAACTGAAGGAATTCTTGTAGTTTCCTTCCCGTGTCTGCATATTGTGGCTGCCAATAATGAATCCTGGTGGACTTCCAAGTGGCCTTGTTATAATCATCATGTTTTGGCTATTGTATTCTTCAAATATGTTTCCATTGATCCAGGAAACCGTCAAAGAATTTTTAACTTAACCTTTTATTTAATCTATGAATGTATATTGTGTTTGTTCTTCTATCAATGTTTATGAATTTCTTGTTTTGTGTTTTTTTCTTTTTTTTTAAAGTACTGATCAGTTATTACTTGCTTTGTCTCCACCAAGTCTGAGTCTACTATTGAACCCAGAGATTTATTTAACCCCAAATAAGGCAATAAAGCCACTAAGGTACAAGGGGTTACTGAATGTTAGAGAATGAGAAAAAACAACAAAACAACAGAAATTAAGAAAACAGAAGTCGATGATTGACATTGAATTCAAATTTTTGAAGATCAAAGTTGACGGGGAAGCAAGATGCTGGATGAAAGTTTCACAAGCAAGAAGCGAGATAGAAGAAACTATTAGCATAGAACTTACAGTTCCATCTAAGCATTTCCAACTGTAAAATGATGAGACCTACCTGCCAATCTAGTAGTGAACTTAAATTCATAACGTCTATGCACCATAGAGGAAAGTTCATCAGAACAATTACCATGAAAGTATTTATAGAAAACACAATTACTTATGTCACCAAATACATGAAGTAATGCTTTAGTCCAGTTGGCTTTCATTTTGTATACTGGGTTGTGGATTAATGTAACTGGTTACTAACAGTTACTTAATTCCCTATATGGTTATGTGCCCGACTTGACTAATTTTGAGTAAACCTCATCAATGACATAACAATAGATGGAAAGTGTTTCTTTACATTTGGTTAAATATAAATGAAAATGTTTAAACAATTTTAACACATCATTATAATTGTATATATCAATATAACCACAACAAATGTAATGCTAGTTAGAAATGCACTGACATAATACAAAGAAAATCAGATTCAAAAATCAAAGAAATTTACCTCTTGTGGTCCATACATTTTAGTCCCTACATAAGTTCCACCAAATCGGTAGCCAGTGGGTTGGAACGTACTCATGGACACTGTATGGCTGACCTGGAAATGGCTGCTGAGCCCCTTGGAAATTATTAATTTCCCTCCTTCGAATATTTGTGGAAATACGTCTGTAATCAACAAAGAGAATCAAGAAAAAATGAAATGATTAAAAAAAGATGAATTTATTGAAAACAAATCGAATTTTTTGTTTTTGTCACAAATTCTGTAACAAAAAATGATTCTGACAACAACCATTTTAAATATTCCAGCAAAATATAAAATAAAATTCACCTTGAGAAAATTTTCAATTTCACAGTAAATGAATCATAAAAGAACAAAACCTATTTGTGTAAAATACAAACTGCCATTTTTTTAACTCATATTTCTCTAAGAATTAATAAAGACAACACGACAGATTTTACTAAGTGTTTAAAAACCTGCATTTTTATGAGATTAAACAACATATACATCTACTTCTCAATTTGCTAATTATAAAAAACAATAACCAATTTTAAAACAATTTTATAAAATTTTTTTAATCATTTCACCCCAAGCAAGGCAATCATGTCACTAAGACACAATGGGTTACTACTTAAGCAGTAGGGGTTGAAAAAAAATAAAATAAAATAAAGGGGAAAAATTAGAAAAATCAGGAGAAAACTAAACTACTTTTAAGGCAATTTCTTTTCTTTTTAAACACTGAGGTAAGGAAAAAGTTAAGACATATGTGTGTGTTCTTATATATGTGAAAATTTCTCAGTTAACCTGTAGAAAAGACAATATTTATAAATATAAATGACAATAGGAAAACTGTAGGAGTTGTCAACGCATTTTGTCCAATGTGGACTTTCTCAAGGCAAAAAAAATGAAATGAATTTATTTAAACAAAGTAACTAATAATAACAAAAACAAAATGTCCTGAAGAATTTAGAGAACGCTATTTTCATAATGTTAACTGAAAATTATGTCAATTACTGTCACATGTGGAGATATTGTTATTATTGCTGTGTTGACGAACCATTTTCTTTTGATTTCACAATATTGTTGTGTACATTTGTTTGTGAGAGGAGTAATTCTGTTAAGAAAGGTGAAATAGGGAAAAAGCCTGGGCGTAGATTAATATTTGGGTAATATTCAATGGCGGCACTCTCTAGGATTTTCCTTCTGAGTGTGTTATTTTCTTTTTTATGAGTGTAGCATTTTTAAAATCAAAATTGTGGTAGAATTTATGTATGACTAGTGCATTAACTAAGTTGTTTTTTGTGAGATCTCTTTTGTGCTCATAAATGCATTTTTTTAAATTTCTACTTGTTTCTCCAATATATTGGGAGGAACAGTTTTGGCAATTTATTTTATAAATGCCTGCTTCAGAAATATTATTGCTCTTAGTGTTTGAAGATCTGAGTATATCCATAATGGTTTTGGAAATGTTTGTGACTATTTTATTATTTAGATGGGATAGGTTATTCTGGATAGTGGACGTGGCAGTAATTGATGTAATCTTCTGTTAACAGTATGAAAATAGCATTCTCTAAATTCTTCCATTTGCTAGGGACACTTTGTTTAAACAAATTCATTTCATTTTTTGCCTTGAGAAAGTCCACATTGGACGAAATGCGTTGGCAACTACTACAGTTTTCCTATTTGTCGTGTGTGTGTGTGTGTGTGACCAGTTTTAAAACTGGGATCATAGTTTTAATATCAAATACTATAAATATAATCGTGATTAAAATCAAATAAACCCTAAGGCACCTTTCATCCAACACTTCATCAGAAGTAAATAAATTGTTGGAATTAAATTACTGAAGAGATGGTTTTGGTAAACAAGATCATATAAGATGGCATGGTGGGGAGGGGAGAAAAAAAATAAGACGGGATTCATCCAGAATAAGTCAATGATTCTCCAAATAATTTCAATTTATATTTAAGTTCTCTCTGTCTACACAGAGCTGGACGCTGTGTGCTGATCACAACAGCTTCTAAGATATTCAGATGTTGTTTTGTCCAGGCTCTGTGCAGAACAGAGAAGAACTCTTCTGAATAGTTGTCCCTACAAGTATCCATATTTAATAAATGTTTACCAATGGCCAACTCATATGTCTGTGAGTTCACGAATGTTAATGGCATATGCTTATGGATAGGACCCAGCACATGTTGAGCAATTCTCAATATACAAGATAAAAGAATGGAAATATACATATATATATTGCATAAAATAATTTATATGTTTTGTTATAATAAATACATTGAGCTCTTTTTCTGGCTCAGTTTTAATATTTTACATTATTAGGATTCCTTGGATTATTACCTATATATATATATATATATATATATATATATATATATATATATATATATATATATATATATATATATATAAATATATATATATACACACACACACACACACTTCCACAGATTCACTAAAATATGAGCACTCATACTGGAAAAAAAAAAAAAAAATGCCCCAAACTTAATAAAAAACAAAATTTTATCTTCCATATCTTTATGCTATTATTAAGAGGAAAGGCCAAGGATATTTTTTTTTTTTTTATTAAATTATATTTTTCTTGGATCAACAGGTGACCATAAATTACTATGACAAACTTTATAAATTCTTGCAAAAATCAGATAATTTTCAGATTTTAATGACACTTTCAGAACTTATTCACAAATGAATAAAGTTATTTTAGAAATTTTTTTTTCTAAGTAGATTTTTTATATATATATATATATATATATATATATATATATATATCAAAGTGTAGGAGAACAAACAGTAGTATTACAGCGTTCAAAACATTAATTTAAAAATAGTGTTCAATACCTAAAGTAGATATTTGCTTCGATAAATGTATTTGTGAATAAAACTTTTTGGTAACACCGTAATTCCCCACCTGATGAGATGTCTAAAAAGGTTTTCTCCTTTTTTTACATTGAAACAAAAACGTACAATTTTGTAGTGGATATGTGCATGTTCTAATGTAACACTGCATTATATATATATATATATATATATATATTACATGTTATCCCCTCTCTTATTTAAACTTAGGAAATTGAGAAATTAATTTTTGTAGTGCCTAATGTTTATATTAGTTTTAAGGACAAGCCCTTAGAGAATTCCAATCATTAATTTCTTTTTTTTTGTCAAACAGGACTTTCAGTTACAAGAAATGTGCTCTGAATCATAAATAAAAAAAAATGAAATAAAACTAAGACATTATTTAATTAGAAAAGCTTTTAATTGCTCTTAAGAATAAGATATTATGGACACTATTGCCTTGAGAAAAAATGTTTTCAATGAATATTGAATTTTTACAAGAATTTTTAATTATAATTTTAAAAGTCTTAAATCTTTTAATATTCTGTATCAGTTTGTAACAGGTGATATTGCTATTAAATTAAAACTATAGTTACTCATCATAAATGGAAAAGCTTACAACAATTACCCAATATTTTAAAAAGAATTTTTTTTTTATGTATAAACATGCCAATTTTTGTAAATATGGACATTCATACACAACATTATCAGAAAATAATAGCAGTAATTATAGCAAATTTATTGGTCATTTTTTAATATTTCCTCAACAAGCATCTTCATAAGACTATAAAGCTAAAGTACCTAAAATATAGTAAAATTTTAGATTACTTACAATATATATTTTCCTAAATTTTTAAGATTATTGGGTAGTTAAAAAATTATATAAAATGGTATCAGGTTACATTCGTCAAGTAACTCTTGCAGTAATTTTCCCTTTCAAAAAAAGTCTATCAAAGTAATATTTGTTTCAAATCAGATTAATTAAACTCTAAATCTGCTAATCTTCTTCAAATAAAGTTTCTAAAAAGTATATTTTATTTTTGAAGGTTTTTTTTTTTTTTTAATAAAGACGATTATATTGTGTTGACAGATTTATAAATATGGATGATTTTAGCCATTTTTAACAATTTAAAAAATAATTTCAATCAATTTAAATTAATTTTTAAACACAAGAAATAATCTTGCTTATTGGAAATATTAAATTTAATCAATTAGCTCGGAATTAAAACTAAAATAAAAGCTTCAAGAAAGATTTTTCATTTGTAAAAATGCATTTTAAATGTTAAGTATCACTTTTCTTTGGCGATATAAATACTTATAAATGCATTCCCAGATTCATTTCAACTAGATACTAAACAAAAATTTATCAAATATCACATGAAAAAAAAGGAAAATTATTAAAACATCATTTGAAATTGTCCTAAAATTTATGCCAATCAATAAGTACAGATAATTTTACAACTTACATATCTTCTTTAAAACTAAACTTATTTCTAAACAGAATGTTTTATCAAAATAACATTTTGGAGGAGGAAATTTTTTAGCAATTGAAAATTATTGGAATGGACAGAAAAGTTTGAAGCCAATCATTTTTTTTGAGTTTTTAATATTACAAACCTGATAATAAATATTATTTGAAAATCTCAACACACTTGTTAAGATTATTTTGTGTAACAACAATGATTAATAATATAAACAAAGGTGATATATGTAGATAGCATCAGTGGATTTAGCAAAGAATTGGACCAGTTGTTCCCAATACAGAAAGAACCCTAGAACTTTGTGATGTCTAAATCAAAAACAAAAATACATTTTGTACACTTAAATAAACACTTGTTCTACACATATAATTTTTATATGCCAGTTTTTAAGTAACAGATAAACACCCTTCCTAACAAGTTAGGAAGGAGGATGCTAATGTATAAGAAGACAATATTTATTTTATCAAACGTTTTCTGTACAGTGAAAGAGATGTTTTGGAAAATTTGAAAACTAGTTTCCCAAGGCCAACTACATATATTTTGTTACTTCAACAATTGGTTTACAAACTAATATGCGATCAATTATAAATACTAAAAAAGATTTTTTTGTGTAAGTCATGAAAATTTGATATTCATAAATAATTCGGCTCAGAGAAAAATCACGAAGAATTTTAAATTATACTGGTTCGTTATAATTTTGAGGTCTCATTCTGTTGTCAAATTCTTTACCAATCTTTGAATTTCGGTAATTGAAAAGAAATTTCATTTGATTTACTAATCAATAAGCAAGTTATTGCTGCTTTTACATTCTACTTACTACGTTAGCCTTCAGAAGCCCAAATGATGAATGACACTGAAAAGCATTTATTCAATATTGTAAAAGTTTTTGTCATTTGTTTAAAATGAAAAAAATTTCATAATTTTTAGTACAGGTATCATGTGCTTTATTTATAAAATACTTTTTTTATATACTCAGACACAGATTGTCACTGTGAAAAATCATAATTAGATGTTAATTTTTCTACTTCTTTTAAAATAAACCAAACAACAGTTACTTATCGGGCTCGTTAATGAAAAACATGAAGATTAATCGATTTTAAATTGATCTATGTTTAAGTCGCTGCTTAAAATTAGTATTTTCATTGAAAATACTAATTTTCATGACTGTTATTTGAAAATATTTTGGCTACAATGTTCTTATCTCATATTAATTATTTCCTTCTTTAAAAATAGAATGTCTTCTTCTTAGCCTATTTAGACAGGCTAGTCGGTACTCTCAAAATGTAAAATAAAAAGGTACGATTTTATTTGATCAACACAGACCCCCTTTAAAACTAAATTAAGCAAGTTACAGGACCAACCCAAAAGTTTGACTTTGGAAGATTATATAATAATTTTTATTAGTAATTTGAAACTTTTTAAAAGAAACGCACGTGGAGAGGAAAAGAAAAATTAACCTCGGATTTTACTATCTTCGGTGCATTCTGACCAAAACAAAGAGTCAATTTAATCATAGATAATAAATGGTTTAATAATCACGTCAAAATATATTGCTCAGACTGTTGCTTTTTTAGAAGCGAATGTTAATTACTTGTTCGATTTCATTCGCTTTTTTTTATCATTTATATGGCAAACTACAACAAAAGTCGTTATCTTCTTGGGACTTAAACTAAAAAAGCTTCAATATGTTATTTAAAATAAAATTATATTTTTCGACTAATATAATCTTCCAGAAGCATTCCAATCAACTGAAGTTCTGTTAATTCCACCTGAAGAGCTGGTGGAAATTGGTACTATCATCAAACTACAACTCACAGGAAATAGTTTTTATGGCAAGTTGAAATATCAACCTTAAAGACTATTTTTTAAATATTTCTAATAGTGAAGTGTTTGCAAAATTATTTACAGAAAGTCTATAGAAAGTCAGATAAAAATATAAAAAGACTGTAACTAAAAAATATCTTCAAGAATTTCAAATTAAATTTAAGAAGGTAAATTGGACCCCCATTTCGTGGCCATGAGGAAATCTCAATCAATAAGTAATAAAAAAATATGTAAATAAAAAAAAAAACTGAAGCTATGTCCAGAAACAGAATAAAAGAACATTTTGTTGTGAACGAAATGTTATGAAGAAAGAAAATGCTTAGGTTTCTTTTGTGTAAAACAAACATTGCTACAACTTGATTAGAAGATTTCATTGACTGTCGAGGTCAAGTCAACGAATTACACCGGGTCATATCCAAGGTGAGAGACGGTCACCAGAAATTCTTTACTTGCAAGCATTTCATACGAGACGAATGCTTACCTTTGCATTTTTTATGAAGATCTTCGAATGTGCCGGGATTATTTGACGGTGGTGGTGGTGTTTGTCCTGAATCTGAGGGTGGAGCCCCGGGTGTTCCTGGATGTGGTGCAGAAACCGGGTCTTTAGATGGAGGCGGTGGAGGTGCTATCAAGGGGGGCGAAGCAGCCATCGGCGGCTGAGAAGTGGCATGTACATTGCCCATGGCTGGAAAGTGGAATAGTTTTGACAGAAAAGATTGAAAATATGCTGTACTGATTACAAAAGAATTTAGAAAGCAGACTTCAGCGCGATCTCCACAGTTTGGATTCTGCTCCAATTCACGTGGACGTTAGGATCGCTGCCATGTGTGCGCGCATGCGCTGAAAGACACTTCCTATGTTTTTTCTTACAAAATTAGTCCTGAGTTATCTGCTCCTGATATCTTACAAGCACTTTCAGTTTAGTGTTCAAGTTAATTGTAAAATTACATGTAAGTTATTGTTTTCGATAATTTTACTCAGCAACGTCAGCATTGCATTCTTGGGTGGAAATTCTTGTGGCTCATTTACTAATCATGCTACTGTTTCTTGAACAATATACCTGAGCCTTCGTCTGATTTATTTATTCAAATTAAATTGATTCATTTTGTAAGAAAATTATAGGTAAAAATAAAAATTATTTGGTACAAATTAAATAAATACAATTTTTACATGATTTCATTTAATTTAACATTAGCTTGACAAATTTTTATTTTAGAAATAAGTTACAGTGTTAATTGCAGAAATGGCTTTACTATCTTGAATTAAAAAAAGAAATGGAAATAAAGAGAAAAGCCAATTCATAAATGTGAAAGATTTTATATGTATTTTTCAGATTTAAAAAAAAATTAAATAAGAAGTAATGTGAAATAATAACTCCCTTCACCCACTGCCTTTAAATTCAGAGGACTGAGGAAAAAGAAGGAAAGGAACTTACAAGCCTATGCGAAATTTTATTTAGACCAAAGAAAACCTAGCCTTCACAGAAATTGATCAGTGACTTGAAAAAAAAGAAGGAAAGGAATCTGTGAGCCTATGTAAAATTGTCTTTGGAGCAATGAAAACCTTGCCTTACCATAAATTAGCCTGACAGCTAAGAAGAAAACAATGTAGCAAGCCTACATGAAATTCTTTTTGATATAAAATAAGAACAAATTAAATTAATAAAAGAAGAGTCTCTGAAGTCATGCAAAAAGTTTTGTTTCAGTTTCTCACAACCTACCTTGAAGTTCTTGCCAGTGTAAAATTATTTGCCAATTATATTATTGGCTTCTAAAGAAGCACTTCAAAGAATTTTCTCTCTACAATCCAAGAAAGCTAAGTATTTCAAACTATCTCTCTTCATCTATTTTGGAATTTATGCAACCATATATCTCTTCTGTTAGCAACAAATTCTCTTAACTTTGTTTTAAGCATTTTTTAATATTATTTTTTGTTAGATCTTTTAATCTGTTGCATGAACATTTCCTCTTGATAACAGTACATTAAAATTATGGATATAAGAATTCTTATTTATTTTTCTGAAACAAGCTATTGATACTACTGCAAGTGTGTAAATACATGAATAAATTCCTTATCTTGTTTTGTTAAAATTACTCTCATGTTTCCTCATCATTATCATCCTTCATTAATCTTCTTGGCATGGGTAAATAAATTGTTCATTTTAACTCCCATGTCACTATAGATTTTTTAAAATACATATTGACAAAAACTTTAATCTTTAAGTGATGTAGTCAAACCTTAATTCCATTTTATAAAGCAAAAAATTGTTGATGTGAAATTTATGGATTGAAACTGCAGTGGTAATACATTTTTGTACTGTCACAGAAATAATAAATCAACATTTGTTGCTCTTCAAGTAAAACTAGATTTATTAGAATTGCCAGTCAAATCTAATAAATTGTAGATAGTAAGTTACAATGATGACAGACTGATGAGCAAGATCACAGTAAGTTCATTGAAGTTGTTGGAACTCCAATTCTTTAACTCAAACAGAAGTGCTCACTTCCACATACACAGCTCATATATAAAAAAAAGACCTTATTTTTCTCTGGATCTGACTCACTGTAAAGCCAACACCGATTCCATCCATGAAGGCAGATCCAACCTGGCTGCCATTAATGATGGACAGGCAAACTTAACTGAACATGAAAGAAAATTATCATTCAGTTACCCACATAATAGTATTTAAAGGTTTTAGCCATTAACAAATATTATTAATCTTTTGATTAATATTTTTTTCATTTTAATTTCTGTTGTTTTTTATTGCAACTCCTAAATCCTCATTTTACAAATGTTGGTGAATACTTTACATCTCATACTATTTACTGTTCCACTGGTCTTAGGGTGGAAGATAAATCTGTATGAATATGGCTACTAACTGTAAAAGCAACACAAAGATTACACAAAACAATGTAAAATTAACAACTGTATTATTTTTTTAAAAACACTCGATCTGTTTTTGCTCCCAACATTCCTTAGTGGAACTGGAAGTACTTACATATCATCATCATCATTTGTCATCATCATCATCATCAATGATATTATGGAACAAATAACTTAAAATATTAGAGTGCAAACAGGTAAGGTTAGTTAATTGAACAACATATAAACCCTTTACATTGTTTGGGCTATCATCCTCATCTTAGTTGCCATATTTATCACAACGCTTTGGTCGTTGTATGCTCCAGCCTTCTTCAGGTGGTTGGAATGTCAAACTGAACCCTTTATTTCGCTCGCTGGGGCAGACTGTTCTACTTCCATGTGGCAAAGAGTGTGAGTTCAATACTTGGCTAAGGTGGTGGAGAACTTGGAGAGGGGAATTAACAGGAGATAACTGATAACTGACATCCATTAGACACGGCACATAGAACTAGAACAGTCTACCCAAACAAGCAAAATAAAGGGCTCAGTTTGACATTCCAACCACCTAAAGAAGGCTGGAGTGTACAATGGCTGAAATGTGATAAATATGGCAACAAAGATGTGGATGATAGTCTGAACAATGTAAATAGGGTACATAATACCTCATCTCAGAAATATAGACAGATACTGAATATCAACCCTTGCTTGGGTTATTTAATGCTGAATTTAAGTCTTATAGGACAAAAATCACAATGAATTAATAGAAAGCTAGACACATGCCTGGTTTGCAATAGAGTAAAAAAAAATATAGACATTGGTTCAAGTGCAAATTTTACATTGAATTAGGATAGTTTTTGAGAAATAGAATGATACTGTATTTGGTGGTGTAGTGCCTTAATAAACATATTATCAGCAGCAGCCCAGAGGGTATAAAAACAGATTTAAGTAACTCTCTGTTTCTGTTTTTCCTCCTTTTGAAGTGTGTGCCATCAACTTTTCATGCTGAAGCAAAAAGGAATTTTAACAACAATTTGTAAAGATCAGATTTATTTTCACTGTTTAAAATAACATTTCATAATGGTTCCCTTTGGATAAAATTTAAAACACTTTTAGAGAATATATTTTATTACTTAAATTTCAATACTAACATAATTAATACCAGTGGGACCAGAAGTACTTACAATTATCATAATCATCATAATCAACATTATTGATGTTGTTAGAAACAATGATAAATTTTATCGAGCGCCATTGAAAATGTTCTATGCTATGATTTTCTCATTTCTTTCATCCACTTGTATATTTGTTATTTTCCATCTTTTTCAAAAAGGTATCAAGTGATTTTGAAAAAAAAATTAAAGACTTCTCTGGTAGTTGAAGTTTCTTTTTTTTTATTCCTCTCTTATTGTAATTTTCACTTCCTCAATTTTTCTTGTTTTTTTCCTTCTTATCTTTCTGTCTAATGTACATTTGGAATGTATATATGTCATTTTTTTAATATATGAAAAAAATTTGAAAGTGACAGGCAAGATTTAAATTTTAATCATTGCTTACACTATGTCAGTGTTTTCACATCAAATTAGTATTGATCAACTGTTGTTGCTAAAAGTTCCAAGATATATTTTTATGTGTCACATACCATATGAGTTTCAGTTTATAATATATATATATATATATATATATATATATATATATATATATATATATATATATATATAATTGCTAAACCATCACAATGAGATTGTCTTCAAGTGCAGACACAAACATTGACTCAAAGTCACAAATTAGACCAAATTTTGTGGAGACTTGTCCTTGAGAAATCTGAAATAGGAATTAACATAACATGGAATAATATATTTGGTCACTATGTAGGATTAATCATGTAGTTTGATTTCTGTATGTATGTGTATGTATATGTATATATATGAGTATGTACATGTTGGTATGTGTATATTTTTAGTTATATAGATATGAGTATATATATGCATATCTATATGTTGTTTTTATGGATATACCTATGTATATATGTGTATGCATGTGTGATATATGTACTTACTGGTATAATATATAATGTTTATTGGTGTGGACATATATACATGTATCTGTTGTTGGAATTATGTTCACCCTCTGTACACTAAGCAATGGAAAATACATATATTTTCTAAATATGATGTTACATGTTTTTTAAAATTTGGTTACATATCCTTAGTCAATTGAATTCTTTGGTTTTAGTGACTGTACGATTGTATACTCTCCTTCTTAGCTTTGTATTTTGTTTATATATAGGTTTTTTTACCTTTATTTTATTCTATCATATTACATTATTATTAATATTATTATTTTCATTATCATTATTATTATTTTTGTTATTTTCATCTATATTATTATTATGTTATTACTATTTATATCTTGAAGGAAAGCATTTTCTTTATTTTTGTTAACTTTTAATAGAATTTTCTTAAGTTATTATTTATTACCCAATTTAAAAAAATAATCCTTATTGAAAAATTAAAATGCACACACACACACACACACACACACATATATATATATATATATATATATATATATATATATATATAATCACAATCCAAATCATCAGACCTACAAATTCCTACAAATTTGGATGATTTGGAACATGATTACTAATTCAATGTAATAAATTATAACCATGGAATATTAGTGTTTGAGCCTTTTATATTATATTCTTACTCTGTCCTGGACATTGAGTTCTACCTGAATTCTATCCTCTTGGAATTTATGTATATATATATATATATATATATATATATATATATATATATATATATATATATATTGACCACTAATATTACACACATATGTGTGGGTTTTTATATAAAAAAAATTTTAATTTCTTTACATCATTTTTTTCTCTTAGAACAATGTTAGTGAAGACATTTTTTTCAGTTTTTGAATTTTTAGTTGTTATTATTATTATTATTATTATTCTTTAAAATAATGTTGAAGTGTCAACTGATTGTAGACATTTTTTTAGCCTGAGTCCCACTTGTATGTTTTTCTTTTTCTTTCTTTATTCCCTGTCTAATTTCTGTTCTGTTTTTCTCATTTCTTCTTTTTACTTTAATTTTGTTTCCTGAATTCTGTTTGTCTATTTTCCTCTTCCACTTTCCTGTGAATATACTTTATAAATAAAGTCTAGCAACACCCCTACCACCACCACTATTACTATATGTCTCTTTATAAAGATAAATATGAATATATCTCTCTATTCCTCTTTTTTCCCTTCCTAGGTTTGTTTACTTATCTTTCATCTTCCACTCTATCAGGTTATCCTTTTTAATATATATATATATATATATATATATATATATATATAATTATTTTTATAAAAAAATTATAACATAAGTATGTTATAAAATCACTACAAAAATAGCCATTTTGTTTCAACAAACGCTGTGTCTTATTTTTGATGATGTTGAAAATAAAAAAAAATTTTTTTTTTTTTTTGAAACAAAATCTATTTTTGTAGTGATTTTATAACATTTTTATGTTATAAATTTTTTAAAAAATAATTATATCTGCTCTACTTTGTATTGAGCACTCTTTTAAGAATAGTAATTGTTGGTTATTGGAATTCATTCCGTATATACCAATTATGCTTTGATATATATATATATATATATATATATATATATATATATATATATATATATATATATATACTCTTCTTGGGTTCAATCTGCCTCCTCAAACAAATGTGTTCATAAATTAAAAATTATATATAAATCTTTTTATGCCTCGAAAATTTGTCACCCATTTATTTGTATGGAAATGGTCAATCTGAAGAATTTGGATTGAATCTCGGTCCTAAGAAAATAAATTATAATCATGTAACCTTTTAGTTGTCTGTTTCTTAATAATAATTAATGTTTGGTCTGTTCTTACATTGAGCTCTCTGGATTATATCCTCCCTGGAATTATCCATATGGATTACCAAACAATATCATTAACTATATATATAAACCAGAGAATCATATGATTAACCCAGTGGTTCTCAACCAGAGTCCATATGGACCCTGGGGGCGGGGTACATGTAACATTACTAGGTTTCACGCAAAAACAATGGAAGAAGTATAATATGTGGAAAACAAATTACACTGCTAAAAAATATTCACTACTATGGTTAAAAAAGCATTTCCATCATTTTACTTTGTTGAATCAGGTTTAAGTCATGTGTCTCACTTTCTATCAAAAGCCTGTATAGACTCAAAATTTTTTTTAATTTATTAATTACTCACATATTTTAAAATGGTTTATTATGAGTTAGTTTACTAGTATACATAAATGTTCCATAGAATTTAGTTGTTAAATACAGATTATTTTCATTAAATTAGTTTTACTTCAAAATAAAGCATATACACCTCCACCAGTCTTTTAACTATTTGTTAACTTTTCTATTGTTTTGACTTTAACATTATTTGCAACCATTTTTGTTGTTTCACAGAAATCTTTGCTTGAATATTGTTTTCCATTCTCAAATCCATCTCTTTTAATGATAGACCACAAGTTTTCTATATGATTAATATCTTGAAAGGCTGATGCACATGCCATTAATTTGGTATCTTTGAAATCTCTTTTAGCAAGGTGGGCCATAGTCAACTTTGCAGAATGTAAAGGAGCATTGTCTTGCATGAAAATAATCTTTAGCCAAAATCTTCTTAGTGGTGATCTGTACTACTTTACAGTAATTCTATACATTTATCTTGATACCATCATCATTGAAGGGACCTATAATTTTACTGCTGACAATACTAACCAAAAACATAATTCCCCTTTTATTATCTTCTAAGTTTTGGCAGTTGAATAAAATATGTAAAGTCAGAAAAAGGCAAAAATATAAAAGTCTAAATTCACAAAGTTAAAATTGAAAAAAAACATTGCATCTATTAATAAAGTGTTTTAGTGTTTGATTATTATGCATATTAGTTGGGAAAGGTGTCATTTAATTCATAAAAATATTGTATAAAATTTGACGTGTGGACTAAATAAAAAGATAGGAAATATTTGTATTGCACCGGATTCGTTTGAAATAAGACAGACTTCGAATTTGATGTGACACCGTTTGGTTTTTTTTTTTTGATTTGCGTCGTGGTTGAAAGACTGAAAAAAAAAGTCGTTTGTTGATTTTTTTTTTCCTTTTGGAAGGAATTTTTATTAAGGAAAAATTTAATTTGGCAAAGGTACTTTTTTGGTTTTCATTTCTTCTTGTTCTTAAAGCTATTGTTGCTTTTTCTTTTATAACTTCAATTGTTTTTTTTAGGTTTAGAACTTTCCATATTTTTCTCCGTCTTTAAATAATACTTCACTCATTTATTTCGGTTGAAATATCACTTAAAAGCGGATTTTGTTGTATTTTGGTGTATGCAAACCTTCCAATTGTTTATTTATTTCTTAAATTAAAAATCGGCCTTCTATAATATAATTAAAAAAAAATAAAAATTAAAAAAAAATAAAAAGCGCCGGGAACGTTTCAAAGTTTGATTAAAAAAAAAAAAAAAAAAGAATTTTCTTTTTTTTTCACCATTGAAAGGATGATTATTCGTTATTTATTTATTTTATGAATTCAACATATTTATTGAAGTTTTATTTCTGAAAAATGAATTCATTTTTAAATGGAATTTAAACTGTACCCCCAACTAAGAGAGTTTTGATTTCGTCACACGGGTTTTGTGTTGACCGCATTACAAAAAAAAAAAAAAAAGTTAATAATCGTCATAATTAAACTTTTTCAAAAAATGTTTTGTTGTTCATTTATCCTTTTTTTTTTTCTTTTTTTTTTTTTTTGTATTAAGTTCTTTGGTAATAGACATTTATTTTCTTTGGCATTTTTGGGCCTTTTCTTTTTTTATTTTAAAAACCCTCCAAAACTTGTTTTTCTTTCTGTTGACTTTTTTTTAGATAATTTGACGATTTAATTCACAGCAAAAATATATTTTCTGACTAGAATGATCAAAAGTTTGTTTTTTTTAAAATATGTCCTACAATCGCTCCAGTTGTCATGTATCGTAAATAAATTTATGTCTTTACATGTTTAGGCTTTTCAAGTAATAAACAAAAGAAAAGAAAAAAGGATAACATTGTTTGAGAGAGAGAACCATTTAGTGTACTGTGTACTGTACAGTAACACTGAGTTTGTTTTATTTACAACACAGGGTCGATTATGGGATCTCCACACACGAATTAGTGACAAAAATAACTCGGCTCTACTGGCTTTTGCCGCAGGTATTGAAACTTTCTGTTGATCTTACCCTATTTGAACAATGGGGAGGTGCTGTCTAGAAAATGGATCACCCACCACGACTATACACCGTTAAGTGCTCGAATTAATAATTACTTTGTTGAATTAGGTTATAATTTTTTTGAATTTCTCCAGATAATTGTAAGAGATTAACAAGAAGTTTTTTTATTAGAATTTAGTTAGTGTTAGGTTAGACGCAAACAAAAGGAATTGATTTCTTATTTTTGTTTGAGGTTTCTGTTCTTCAATTTACTACAAAAAATTTTCTTTTATCTGTCTTTTAGTTTTAAGTAATATCTTAAACTTTTCTGATAAATCTTGTACTTTTAAAATCTGGTGTAAAAATGCAATTTAGTTATATAACTGAAAATAAATAGAAGTAAATTAGCAACACACAAAAAGCGACTTGCGAGTGGTTTTAGTTATATGTTTACACTACAGTTTAATACTCTTTTCTTTTGGCTTGGTTCCTAATTAAAGTTAGCCAAAAGCCAATTTGGCATTTAAATAAGTTATTCAATTGAAGTTTCTTTGTGTAAACATTTTTTTTTTAGTTGAATCCTTTTAGTGGAAAGTTCTGTTTTTAGGATTGAAAAAGAAAGACAAATTTGGAATATGCTATTTACTTTTTTTGAGCAACATAATCACCATTACTGTTTATATAGGAAGCTTTTCAATGCTTCTCTTGATATAGGTTCTCTTTAGCATTTAATAAAACTTCCACTGATCTTTTTACCTCTTTACAATTGACAAATGTTTTCCCAACTAAATAATTTTGCAATGAAAATCAGGAGGCGCTAAGAATATGGGAAACTGGCTCAGAACTTCCTACCCTATCTCTGCTATTTTTTTCTGGTTTGTCTCTGCCATTATGGAAAATTCTGAAGGAAAGAGGTTACTATATTATTACTATGAATAGGTCACCATGAAATTCAGTCAGTTATGTGCTATGCATGATACACTCTTAAGCGATCATGTGTCTTTTAATACGAGGCAGATTTTTTTCCTACAATAAGTTACCATTTCTTTCTGCAGTAGACCAGTTGTCATCCAAGGCTATAGAACCTGGTCTGTCCTGCTATTTACCCATAGCTGGTGGGAGAAGAGGATTCATACCTTTCCCAAGGGTATGAGCATGTAAGTGAATGTAATGGATTCAACTGGAATTCGAACTTGGCTCTCCGATTCCTCAGTTGAAGCTGCTATCCATTACTCCACTGTAACCATTCTTTCTTACTGAAACAAGAACCACCACCATGGTGTCCTACATGCAATATAATGTAAAACATTTTTCTAATTGGATATATTGATCTTGACTCCCAAAGACACAATTTCTTCCAGGCAAACAGCCTTGAAAATATTAAAATAAATAGAATTATAACATTCCCAAAATCATCAACTACTGAAGGTCATCCAGAGTTTGGTTTGGTTCATCTCTAAGATTCTCATGTTCGGATTTCTGGAACCAGTTTCTGCTGGTTCTATAGCACACTGCATAATATCCAAACACGTTACCAAAATTTCTGGAAGTTTTCGGCTACATTCTTTCCTCATTTTAAATTCATAAAGAATACAATAGTGTAAATGAAACTCATCTAATGACATTGTTTTGGGTGTTGAGGTTCAGGAGTTTGACAAAAGAACAATTAAATGAAGTTGTGTTTGATTATTGCTATAATAGACAGAATAACAAAGACAGCTGCTAAAACTAACAAGAATACTCTATTAAAGATATATGTTAAAAATGGAAGAACTTTCTGGTAGACCTAATATTATTTGATTACTAGTTTTGTTCTTTCTTGGCAGAGAGACTGGGAAGATACAGCAGAATGAATGTATTCCAGTCAAGTTATATGTAACTTGACAAGAATACATAATTGTATAGTTATAAGTGATAAACTTGATTCTAGTTTGTGTTATTAAAGTGGTAAAGGCAGCAGACTCATGCGATAAATGTACAAGTTCTCTTACTTTTTGTTTCCTATTTTCTACTTTTTGTTCTTGTAGTTGGAGTGTTCTCAGTGTTGTCATAAAAAAACAAGAATAAGATTTAGTAAAATTAGCAATAATGATAATAATAGTATGCTTTCTTGACTATTTACATTATTTATATTGTTCAGGCAGTTGCCCACATCTTTTATTGTCATATTCACAATGCTTTGGCCATTGTACACTCTGGCCTGCTTCAGGTGATTGAAACCGAACCCTTTACTTCATTCTCTGTGGTAGATTGTTCTAGTTCCATGTGCCATGCCTCTTTCTGATATCGCAGTTTCAGTTATTTTCTCTTTAATTCAACTCTCCAAGTTTTTGTTCACCTCTGCTTTGACCAGGTATTGAACTCACATCTGGAAGAGGCATGACTTGTGGAAATAGAACAATTTATCCAGTGCATGAAATAAAGGGTTTGGTTTGAAATTCCAATCACCTGAATAAGGCCAGAGCATGTAACAGCTGAAACATCATGAATATGAAAACAAAGCTGAGGACAACAGTCCAATGTAAATAGTTACAATACCTCATTTCAGAAATATAAATAGATATGCTTTCTTGAATACTTTTGCTTGATCATGAAAAAGCTAAAAAAATTTCTTGTTCTATTTTAAATCTGCTTTCAGATATACTAATAGCAGAAGAAATTTTAAATTGACAGTAGTCACTTGATAGATATTTAGTGACCGATTTTGTAACTAACAGATACTAAACAGTAGTATTATGAATTTGTAATTTTGTTTTAATGTCTTGTATTGAGCATTAATGTTAAACTGCAGAAAAATATCAATGAAGAACTTATTAGCTCACAAGTATAAGGAGGTGCTGAAAAATCCACTTCCCAAAATCAAAATTCTGATGTTTGGTCATTGAAATCCTGATTTTAGACAATGGGTTCGGTTAAGAACTTTTGAGCACTTCTTTGAAGATGACAAAGAAGTCAATTTGTTGCTTTTTCTGTTGAATCTCAATCAAAAGTTGGTCAATTCTGAATGATTTTTTTAATGTGATTCACACCATGTAATACCAGAGGGGTGAATCAAATTTAATATTCCCCATGAATTTTGAAGAGTTGGTCTGTGGTAACCTCACTATGTAATGGGTTCACCTAAAAAGAGTTATCAAAATGTTTTGTAATCATTGTCATCTCGAAAAGTCAAAAACTTCGGTGCCTCCTGGATTGACCTGGTAGGTAACCTTATAGCCCCCATGTGCAAAATCAGCCCTTAAAGAACATCAGTTGGTAAAGCAACATAACGAATGAAGTGAACCCTGATGAACTTAGGATATGTATGCGCAAGACAACCAGGCAAGAAGTTACTTAGCACTAATACACACATGTAATTGAGTGATGTCCTTTATGATATATAGGGTGACGACACACTACAACTTGAGTTAGTTTGCACCACTATTATCTGTGTGGATTTCTGATGATGTTGGTGTTTTGCTGTTATTTTTAAAAAGTTATAGGCTCAGAATATTCTGATGAAATAGCATCTTCATTATGCCTTTGAGCAAGGCTGACTACAAATAGCCAAATACTTGATTTAACATAACACTATGTAATTATTATAAGGGGAAAATAGAACCCCTTGCTAGAAGATCGGACATTTGAAGAAAGATCCAAAACCTCATACCCTCGATTCTGTAATTTGATAGAATCCAGAAGTGTAAACAATTACTTTACATACAGAGAATTTGATCTCATATGTTCATCAGACTTTCCTATTATTACATTACAATTTTTATTCAGAAATGGAACAAATTCTCCTTGAAATAGTTGCATCAAAATCATTAAAATGGTTTCTTGTATGATCTAATTGCAGTTCTCAAAATAGCAAGATGAGTACAAAAATAGAAAGTTCTGTTTCCTCAGCAATCAAATTTGAAGATATAAATGCTGATGAAAAACCGGAAATTACAGAAGTTGAAAGTTTGTGCATGAACTGTGAATCTCAGGTAAGTTCCAATTTATTTGAGCCTTTTTATCCATTTCGTTAGGTAAGATGTCTATGCAATGTTTTCTTTCTTCTAAATTGCTAACATCCTCTTAATTACATCATTTACATTATTTGGACTATTGTCCTCATCTTTGTCGCCATATTTATTACAACGTTTCGGCTGTTGTACACCCAGGCCTTCTTCAGGTAGTTGGAATGTCGAACTAAACCCTTTATTTCACTCACTGGGGTAGACTGTTCTAGTTCCACGTGCCATGTTTAATGGATGTCAGTTATCTCCTGTTAAAGGGTTCAGTTCAACATTCCAACCACCTGAAGAAGGCTGGAATATTGTGATAAATATGGCAACAAAGATGAGGACAAAAGTCCAAATAATGTACATAATACCTCATCTCAGAAATATAGACAGTTCCTCTCAATTATCATTTAAATATTGTTACACAGCACACAGTTGCTTCTTCTTAAATTTGTTATTGAAGAAAATTTAAATGCTTTTTCTTAGTTTGACAACCTTTGTGATATTTCTTTGTTTGTTTCTCCTTATGCGGCTGATAATCGGTTTTCTTCTGCATTTTGTCTCTCTTCCATTTTGCACAAAAACGATGACAGATGGTGAGATGTTTTCTAAAAAAAAAAAAAACATTTTTCTTTCTTTTAGGGAAAGACTATAATTTTTCTCACCAAAATCCCATATTTTAAAGAAGTAATTGTGATGTCATTCTCCTGTGACGAATGTGGTTATAGAAGCAATGAATTACAACCAGGAGGCAAAATCCAGGATTTGGGAGTACATTATTCAGTTTTAATCAATTCTGCTCAGGTGAGTGTTTCTACTCTGTTCTCAGCAAATCTTCAAAAAATGGCTTTAGTAAAGCCACAACTGTATATTGTGTTCATGAATGGGATAACCAACTTTTTCACTGACAAAAATTGAATTGTAAGTGTTGAAATACCCTTTAAGGAACTTTGTTCCTGAGCAAAATGAACTCATAAATAATTACATCAGTCACACTACTACATGCCTATCCAGACGACTTACGTTACACCTATCCAACCACAGCTCCATCAGAACCCATTTAAATGCACATACAATCTTATCAGACTCCATCCAAAACATACTAGTAGAAAATACAAGCATAATAACATCATCCACATGTAAAAAAAAAAAAAGATTAAAAATAATAGAAGCCTTAATAATAAAAAAGAAAAATCCAACACTCAATAATATTAACTATGAATATGGTCATAATATGCTGACTGTGTTCGGAAAATAAAGCATCCCAATAACTCTAGATACATACACACAATCCATACATCCAGTTAATAAGTAAAAATAAAACCATCCTTGATAATGGCTAAAAGTATAGCCAAAAGTGCTCAGAATTACATCCCATTTTAGACAGTTTCTACACACTCTGAAAAGAAAACATTTACTCAAACACAAGAAAAATAAAAAGCTTAATTGCAGTACCTTGTCTGTTAATCAAACATATATAAATGAAAGATTGCTGCCTAAATACACACAAACACACATATATATATTTGAGCAGCAACACCTCTTTTAAACAATTTTCATTAAAGACATCTGGCAAGGTACTGCAATTATGTTTTTTATTCAGTTTTTCTTGCATTCATACAAGCTTTTTCTTTTCTGCACATAAAGTATATAAAAGCTGTCCAAATGTTCTGTATATTCAAGCACTTTCAGCCATTATCAAGGATTTTTTAAATGTTTTATTTTTAATTGAATATATATATATAGTGATGAGAATGTTTTTATTTTCCAAACACAGTCAGCAAATTGTGACAATGCTTGTTATTGAGCGTTGGTTTTTTCTTTTATTTCATTAATACTTTCATTATTTTTAGCCCATTTTTTTAATTAGGCCAAAAATAATGGAAGAATTATTAATAAAAAAGAAAAAGCCAAGATGCAATAACATCAACTATGAACATGGCTACAATGTGTTGACCATGTTTTAGAAAATTAAACATTCCTATAAATCTAGATACATACATAAAACAACCTATACATTAAGTTAAAAGTAAAAATAAAATTATCTCTGATAATGGCTAAAAGTATACTCGAAAGCACTCAGACATACAAAACATTTGAACAATTTCTACATAATTTATGTCCAGAAAAAAAGAAAATTATAAAACTTAACCACAGTGCCTTGTCAATTGTTTTAATGAAACTTGGATAAAGAGAGATTGCTGCCCAAATACATAATTATTTAATATATACATATAAAATGAGATAACGACATATTTTTATATATCAAGAACACTATTGGGGAAATTGTATGACAAAGTGGAAAAGTTTGCTTATGACACATTTTGTCCTTCAGGTCAGACTAAATTTGTTATGTTGGTATGACTGCACATGCACACAAATGAGGGGTATGGGGATTTTAGAAATTTTTTTTTTTTTTGAAGCCATATTGAATACCACTAATACTCAAGTTTGCTATACTATTATCTGCATAAATTTTGCTGCTCTTAATTCCTTGTCTATTTGACTGTTATTTTAAAAGCTCAGAATATTTTGATGAAATAAAGCTCTCGTGCCTATGAACAAGGCTGACTACAAATAGACAAACTCGTATTTGAACATGGCACAAATGTGAATAGCTATGATTATTATGAACAAACATTCTTGACAGATCTGAATTGCTTGCATCTTAATAACAGGTCTTTCTTAAACCAAGAAACCATTTTATAATTGAATACAATCAGCTGTAAACCTTTTATATTCTATATATTTTCAATGCAGAGCTAATGTTAACAGCACAAATAACAAATGGATAACTGTTCTTCATGGTTTAGTTGAATTAAAAATGGCATCCACTGAGTGTGTTAAAGTATCACTATAGATTTGCTTTCTACTGCTGCTAGTTGTAATGGTGATGGCTGGGTTCAGTCAGTTTATTTGTTTGTTCTTTTGTCCCACCCTTGAGAATTATCTGTTCTATATCTCTGTACGGTCAAGAAAAGGAAGAATTTCTTCCCGCCTGTCTATCAGTCAAGGAATAGGGTCATCACCCAATGATATGCCAGGTACATTAGGGACCTGAAGGAGTACCAGATAATGTTTCAGGTGAAACAATGGAAAAAAATCAAACTGAATCTTGCAATGAAGAAGAAATAAATACCAACCACCAAATGGAATATTAGCAAAGGCACTCAGTGGAAGCAATTCACAAGATGGTCCAACAAGTACCTGAAGACAGCAAATGACTGATTAATCTGGAGACAAATGTCTTTGACAGTTTCCAACTGATAGTCTAAGGAACTCTTTAGTAAGAAGTTCATACACAAAAGGCAAATAAAGAGCTTTAAATCAATTTCAACATTTTTTTTTTCTAAGCATTTCACCCTAAGCAAGGTGGGAAGCCACTAGCACACAAGGGGTTACAGGGAGTTGGAGCTAGAGCAAATAGGAGTGATAGAGGAAAGGATGAAGAGAAGGATAGGGGATAAATCAGGGCATCTGGAGACGTTGATTGACATTACATTTGAATAGTTGGAGATTATATCTATCAGGGAAACAGGAAAAAGGGAGGGGGTTCCACAGGCTAGGGGTGCGAGACATGAAGCTATTGGAGTAGAAGAGACCACTACATTTAACAGTTTTGACAGTGAAAGGGTGTGAGCGAGATGCCAGCCTCGTAGGACACTTGAATTCATGAAGTCTGGGAACCAGCAAAAGCAGCTCCTCGGAACAGTTATGAAAGTATTTGTAAAAAGACAGAGGGAGGCGACAGCACGTCTGTGAGAGAGCGACTGCAGACGAGATGCCAGATCAGGGCCAATTATGTTGCATATCCATCTCTGGATCTTATCAAGAACCTTGAGACAAACATAAGGGGCACCAGACCATATATGGCATCAATACTCCAATGCAAGGTCAAATGGTTGATTTGTAGATTTGAATTGAGACTTACAGACACATCACACTGAAACACCAAAGTTAAGCAACATTAAGCTTGGCTAGTACCTAGATGGGTGATTGCTTGTGAATACCACATGCTGTAAGCTTGGACGGGCAGGTGGTGTAAAGTTAATTGTTAATTAGTGTGCTGATTCCAATTCTAGTTGGGTTTATTATATTCTCTTGCACACACATACCTTGGGAAAGGTATGAATCCAGCTCATCCCCCCAGCTATGGATTAATTAGTAAGATTTGTATCAGTAAAACTTTATCTCAAAAAAAACATTCTTACAATCTAAAAATATTTTCTGGCTTTAAATAACCTGTGAACTGTATAAAACCAAAGAATTGAATGATGAAAGGGAGAACTTTAAAGATAAAACAGAACAGAACAAATTGAGGGTCACATTTAAATTAAGAGGATCATAGAGTAAAAAAAAAAATAAATAAAAACAACAAAAAGATTGTCTGACCACAGGCTGAAAAGAAATCAAATTGTTATTTTAGAGTTTCTGGCCAAAATAGGTTGCAGAGTTGGAATGAAGAATAACAGTCACTCTGGATTTTCACTCCATTATACTGTTTTTTAGTCATTAAACATCTTCCATAATATCTGCTGATATTTAATAATATCAGAAATTAAATGTTGGTGAGTAAGTTTGAATCTCTCTAATGAATTAGAACCAAATAAAATGAATCTCTGGACTAGAAAAAAAAAAAAAAAACAGATTATAGAATGTTTAGAAAGTCTTCAGACATCCAAGTTCTTTTTTTTTTTTTTTTTTTAATATAATGCAGAGAAGTTAATCTATTAATTTGATATTTACGAAAATTATGTTTATATTTTCTACAATTGTACAACTCACAGCTCATCCTCAGTTGTTACAACTCAAATTATTTTCTTTTATTGTTGAGTTGTTTCTACAGCTAAAACTAAATATTTGAGTCTGGAGGAAGCAATTGGTCACTAGCGTTCAAACCTCTTTAAACATTGACTCATTAATACCAGATAAACATTTGGCTTTAAGCGGAACAGTTTTAACTCAATAATATTTTTGTGACTGATGACAGTTTTTTTCTGAAAATTGCTTATGTCAGAATTAGTACAACTGTCTCTGTCTTTTCAACTTGCCTGTAAATGATTTTCTAAGTGTAGCAGAGATGTGGCACAAAGCCGAAAGTATGGAGCAATATTATGAGAATCAAACTCGCTACTTAATTGTAATTGTTCTAGCGAGACAAGCTTGCTAACCATTACACCATGTTGAGATGCCTAAACTTGCCTTTTAAATGATTTCAGTTAAGCAGAATTTTAGTTTACAAGTAGTTTCTGTACAAATATTTAACCAAAAAGGTTTGAATTAGCAAAACTTTAAAGCAAAAAGCATGTGTTTGAATATTTTTGAAAATGATTTAACATTTTTTAATTTTTGCAAAATTGAATGTTAGGTGCTGCCTTCTATGAACAGCAAGAATATGGCAGATGAGACCAAGGAGTTGTCAATCTTATTGGCTAGGAAGGAATCCCATCATGAATGTGTACAGTTTGTCTATAAATTAGATGGTGAGGGGGGATGTTTTTGCAGTCATTCCAACAAGGGACCAACAAATGCACTTAACCCAATGCTATTCTAATAATTACATATATCAAATATCATTATACAGTGAGAATTGCAGATCAAAATTCAGCTGTTCCAAGCTACAATTTTATTCATCCATACTTCTTCACTAAAATCTGAATGTGCCACATCAAGTTCAATGTGCTCTTAACTTCTTGGTTATAGTCACATAATAATAATGATAATAATAATAGAATGTAAGAAGTATTTTAACATTGTCAGAACCTGATGTCTGCACACAGACTCAATAAAAAAAAATCCAGCTGGTCTTGTAATTTAGCTGGATTATTATGTATGCTTTCTAAATTGATCTTCATTATTTTTTCATTTCTATAAGGAGGAACCGATAAGTTCTTAGCCTCACCCATATGGAATTTAAAGGTTACATTTTTGGTGTATGGCAGGTGAAGTGCATGTTCACATCTAAACAATTGAAGAAGCATACAAAAACTTGGGTTTCTACTATGGACTGTTTGTTCTTTTTTTTTGTTTTTATATAAACTGTACTCAAACTTGGGTATGTCCATTTTCTTTTTGCCCAGAAGTAAGTTAGGGTAAGTAAGGGTAAGAATAGTTAAAATGATTGAGCCCAAGTCAGTTTTGTGCTGAGTTGGAACAACCAATGTACTTACTTCATGGGTGAAGCTGCAAAACATGTCCAAACATTTGGTGTTGGAATGTGGAAAGAGAAAGGTTCTGTCTTTTCCAGAAGTGGGGATCATAAAATTTGTGGAGGTGACTAAAAACACTTTCTGGCTCCTTTTATTACTTGCATCATAGGAATATATATATATATATATATATATATATATATATATATATATATATAATGTAAAATGTGTCTTTTATATATATATATATATAATGTAAAGTCACATTTTATATATATATATATATATATATAAAAAAATGTGTTTTATATATATATATATATATATATATATATATATATATATATATATTACTTGTATATGCACAGTACTTATTGGAAAGTGCTCAATATCAGTGATAGAGCTAGCATATTTAGTTGGATTGATGTGAGTTTGTGAGGTTTCATGCTATTTGCATTCGTCAGACAAATCTGATGATCACAAATAGCGTGAAACCCAGGGTCACAGACTCACATTGATCCAACTAATATATATATACACATGCATACATATTTTTTGAATAAAAAATTCCAAGAGGGTAGAATCCGGGTAGAACTCGATGTCCAGGACAGAGTAAGGATATAATAAAAAGACTTAAACACTAATATTCCATGGTCATAATTTATTCCATTGGAATTGTAAATACAATCCAATTCATCAGACCTACAAATTCAAAAAGAAAATAGAAAAAACAACTCCGGAAATAAAAAATAGAATTTAGAGAGAGTGTAAGTATGAGAGTGTGGGATGAATGTTAGAGCTAAAGAGAGCAGTAACAGACAGGAGAAGGTGGGGGATTAAAACTTAACAGAGAAGTTTTAGAGAGGTGAGTCAAAGATGGTTTAAGTGAGAGAAATATGAATGTTGTTGGATGTCTAATACATTAAAGATGTAACCGGAAAGGATACATTTTGTGGTGACATACACACACAATAGACGATCTAATCTTAAAGATCAGAAGAAGAGAGAGGGAGAGGAAAAGAAAAGAAAAAGGGGTGGGGGAGAGAGATGGGGAGGGGGAAACTAAAACTGAAGGGCATTTACTGAAAGGGCCGCTTTGTAATTAAGAAAATTTGACAAAATTAATATCGACTACAGGTTACAAATCAAATATAAACATATAAAAAATAAATATAACGATTATCTAATCTAGCAAGGACCTATATTTTTATGCTCAAAAACACATGCGTATACACACATAGACAATGATATATACACGTACATACATACATATAGGTGTGTACCCACATACACACATATATATCCATATATATATATATATATATATATATATTCATACATACACACACATACACGTACATGTATACATATACATACATAAATACACACATATATCCATACACATCCACTATATATATATATACATATATTTACATATATACATATGGACATACACATACGTGGACATATAAAATATATACATAAAACCTTACATTTCCATACAATTACATACACTCATCTAAACAAATAAACAATGTATCCCTATATCTATCCGTCTAACTATACATACATACATATATACATACATATACACACATATACAGATATGAGTACATACATACCAAAACATACACTCACACGTATAACCACATCTACATATACATTTACCTACATATACATACATACATCCATATACGCATACATATATATACATATATATATATACACTCCTACATATATGCACATATACATATAAATCAAAAAGTAAAATTTAAAAAAATTTTGTCTCAAAAAAAAAAAATTAAAAATACATAGCGCATCACATAAACATACACAATGATATATATAGATAAACATAATAAACATAATAGTCATTCCATTAAAATGTCATGCCCGATGTTATTGAACCAAGATGGAACTGACATAAGTGACAACATGTTATAAAACGGTGTTTATGTTTTGAATCGTTTCTTATGTCTACATTTAGAAAATATCTCATTACGAAGATTCAGCATCTCATCCTTATTCTTATCTTTAATAATAAAAAATTTTTCCGCCATGCGCAGATCACACCGATCGCAGAACTTATTAGGTGTTCTAGCTATTGATAAGTATCTCCATTTTAAAAGTGGGGTTAGTCCCTTATCCACCAAATCCCAGTAGTGTTTGGATAAGGAAGTTTGATTTCTGAGGTATCTATATCTAAATGAGCGTTTATGGTTGTATAGACACTGCTTCCAATCACCAGCGAATATACCTATATATCTTTTTTTCTGGTTTATATTTTCCTCGGGAAAGATTGTTGCCTCGTATACTACATTTTCATACTTACATTTACCCCCGATTGGACAATGGTCTTTATTCCTACAATTGCAGGTAGGGTTACTAGATTGAGTTTCATTACTATGATAGTTTCTAAGTATTCTACAATTATGGAAGATATGATTTTCTCCATATTTCTAACGCATGAGTAACTAATTTTCAGTGTCTTCCTATTGAAAAATTTTACGTAGTGGATGTTTACTATGAAAGTGTTTATCAATTAATTTCAGAAAGAAACTTCCTATATCAATGTTTAGAGAGCCTGCAATATGGTGGGTTGAACCATATTACCTTCCTCTTTCTGTTTTTAGTTCTGTTATTATTCTGATTTACAAGTTCTCCTGAAAAGTTTAAATTCTAAAAAAAAAACCACTATTTTTTGAGGGCCTGATTGTATATAAATTTATTATCGTTAAAGTTTTTTTGGCTAGAAGATAGCCTATTTATTCTCACAGTTTTGGGGATGTGATCTATCACATGTTTAGGGTGGTTAGAGGATTTATTTTATTTACGATTCCAATGGAATAAATTATGACCATGGAATATTAGTGTTTAAGTCTTTTTTATTTTTATATATATATATATATATATATATATATATATATTATTTATTCATTTTATTTAATTTCTCCTACACTCACTTCTTGTAATCCAACTAATAGCCAAAGGTCAGGGTTTTTTGCAGGGTGAACATCGTGATCAGGTCAAGAACTTCTGTTGGCGCACACTTCTATGTAATTCTTAAAATTTCAAAACTTTCATTTGAAGATTTTCAATTATATTTCTGATGTATTGGCATTAGCAATCTCTTAGCTCATTGGGAGTGGGTATCACTGAATACTGAAAAAATGCATGACTTCTCAGTAGTGACAACTCTGAATGTCAGGTTTGTCTAGGTTAGCCTGAGTTAGTCAACATTCAAGTATATCTTATTTCAAAGCAACAAAAATCTTTCATAGTGCATCATTTTCATTCTTTAATTCAGCTGGATCCAAAATTAATTGTTATAATGCCATGCCTCAAAATATTGACCAAAATTCATTTCACTGATATTGTTCATTATAAAGAATAAAGCAAAAAAGAAAATAAAAAAGAATGAGACAAAATTAACATGGCTAGTCAAGCTGTGTAGATTTGAACCCTAAGCTGCAATAGGTAATGTATTTCTTGCTTTAATTTCATAAATCTTTTAAAAATTTCTAACGACTTGTATGCGATGTTTTTCAAAGAATACAGTTTTATTTCAATTTATTGTTTTCAAATGTCCAATTTAAATAATTTTTATCATAGAGTATAAGTTTTTTTAGCACAATGTATCAATTGAAAAAAGAGCAAATTAAATTTAGTCTGACCTTAGAGTTGGCAAAAATCAAAGGAAGTGGCAGCCCTTAACTCATCAACTGGAGGGTTAGGGTGAGGAGTGTGACTGGGATAGTGTTGAGGAAATATCAGTCAGCAGTACTGATCATAAACATACAGTAAATTAAACGAAAAATTCAGAGATACATAAACACTAATGCATAGACATATACAGATACACACTTGATAGACACATTATTGTTTAAAAAAAAAAACAATATATCTGGTTAGAGATTTTAAAAAATTATATATTTTAGTTAGAGCAAAGGAATCATTTTAGCATTTAAGTTATACCAATAGTATATTTTGTTAAAGATTTGTAATGAATCCACAAACATTGATGACTGCCTCTTCACTGTCCTCTTGGCTGCTGTCAGAAGTCTCAGGAAAGCCATCCCTGTTCAGTTTTATACATTGAATAATTCATTAGGGTGAAAAGTAAAAGTACTACTTTGACAGTCATATTTTATTTAATATTGATAAAGGAAGAGTTTGTGTGTAGCTAACTATAAAAGGGGAATTTTTTTAATAAAAATAAAATTTACAGTCAAATGTCCTTTATAAAATTTAAATCCACCTCACATTTGATGAATTAAAGTTGTTTTTTTTTTTTTTGTTTTGTTTTTTTTACAACAGGATTTGAATCGTCAAGTCATTCAAGCTGATACAGCATCCATCAAAATACCAGAATTAGAATTTGAAATTCCAGCTGGGAAAGGCGGTAAGGTTCATTTTAAGTTATACTGGGTGTAACAGAAAAATTGTCCAATTGTTAGATTAAGCTTTGAGCTATTTTATCTTAGAAATGATTAAAGATATCTTACTGGAACTCTCTAAGGTTTTTATAACACTATTGGACTCTATTTTGAAAAATAAGAATGTATTTAGTTAAAATGATGATCCCTCTTGTGACCTCCTGATGCAGTTTTCCTTTGTACCATTCCCTCTTTTTAAAACTCATTCACCATTCTCTTGATGGTACTTGAATGGATTTTGAAGATGGAAGCCAGAGTATAAGTGTTGGTACCATTACTGAAGGCCTGAATGATCTTTTTCCTCTCACCATTACTCAGTTGGGAAGACATAGTGTGGCTGACACAAAATGATTTTAAACTGTTCTCTTTCTCACTGAATAACTCAAAGGGTTTTCAGTGATTCTTATGACAAATGGTGTCAAAATGGTTAAATGTCTTATCTGACAACTTGGAAAAAAGAAACTCAATTAGTTTAGTGGTTTTTAGATATTAAACATTTTGTGGGATAGACAATTATCCCTTGCTGTCATGAGATTTGGGCAATATTGCTGTTATGCTTGGTACAGAGTGATAACAAGGATATTGTAAAATCAGAAATGCTGTCTGGAAGTCTGAAAGAAAAGACATTTAAAGTAAACAATCTTTACAATAAAGTGCTCAATATCAGAGATAGACCATTAATAGGATTAATACAAATATAAAAATTGTCACAGCTAATTGATATTATATTCATCAACTTGACTCTGAGTTACAAACCGTTTTGTAATTGTTTGATTCACTTGTTAGGGAGATCAGCAATTTCTGATTTCTCCTGATGTGTGGACTAAACCATTACAAAAAAGGATTTCTGGAGTCTGGGTGCTGAATATAACCTGAATCAGCTAAGTGAGAAATGTGATATTTGTATTAATCACACACACACACACACACACACACACACACACATATATATATATATATATATATATATATATATATATATATATATTCTGTTTATACATTATTTTTATAGATATGATTTATTTAAGTAAATGCTTTGTTTTTTAATTAAACAGTATTAATTAAATTTACCAGCCTGAATGTTTGAGAAATATCATAGAAAATATGCACTTTCCAATAGGAATCAAACCTGTACCCCTAATGGGAACTGTCATTTAATCTTACATGCTGCCACAGAAAGAAACGGCTACCTACTGCAGGAAAATCATCTGCCTAGTCAGTCATGAATCAAGAGACATGATTGCCCAAGCATGTATCTATCACATATTACACTTTGACACATTGCATTACTAATATTGCTTCCCTTTCTACTGCATTCTTTCTTGGCCTCTCAATTACAGTATCTTTATTGTTGATTTCACTCAAACTTGTATCCTGTTGCGATAGCAGGTTATGAAAAGACAACTATTAAATTCAAACACACTATTGTTCAGGGATCAGAGTCACCTCCATTTACAGGATAAACTTTTTGTACAGCAAATGAACTCATGTACAGTGATAAAGGTTAACTGACTGACCACATGACAAACATCACTTGCCATTTAACAAAAACTTTTCATTATAAGTTGGGCCATGAAAATTCTAATAATATTCTTTTCACTTTATAGCTTTTTGAACCCATTTGGTTAGGAGAAAACAAGCCAGAGAAAGAAGCTTTTAAATTACATACATTAAAAAAAAAAATAGTTCTGTTTATTTATTCAGTGAATTTTTATTTAAACTGAGAAAAAAATTAAACTGACATAATAAAAGGCCAATTCTTTTTTGTCTTTCTTTTTAGTAAAACTTATTAATGTATTTTTCTAATCATAAATTAGAAACACATCATAGAATAGATTCTGAAGATTAAACTTTTTCTTTGCAGCCATCACAAATGTGGAGGGCATAATAACTCGAGCTGTGTCTGGATTATCACAACAGCAACCTCTCCGTAGGGTTTGTATACATTTGTTTATATTATTTCAAGCCTGTTCTAACACACACACACACACACACACACAAAACTTCAAATTAATTTTTATTGAGATTAATAATGTACATCTAGTGGTGGACTTATATTTTTTTGGCCTGCAAATTGAACAGATATGGGGGGCTCCTTTACAACCAACAACAATAAATTTGAGGGTCCCACTGCCAAAATGTAGGCTATGAATAGATTCTGACAAGCTCAATGTGCCCATACAGCTGGGGTTTTGGGTGCTGCAAGCCCCCAAGAAAATTTTGAAATTTAATTAGTTATAGGGGAATTTTCAGGCCATATGAAATGAGTATTAGAGCATATTCGAAGGCCAACATTAGCTACTTTAACCTTCTGATTCCATCATTAAAATGTCATATCAATAACAAACACTTAAAAAATACAAACCTATTGATTTTGTTGAAAAATTGACTCATTAAAAAAAGTTTCTTCAGGGCCCAATCTAGAATTAGGGGCCCTGAATCTTAAACTTTATTAGTTTCATAGCAGAACCTCCACAGTATATATAATTTTATTGGTTGTCTTTGGAAATTAATCTACCCACTTCCATAGTGAATTTGCTTTTGAAAATCTTTCCTTACATTACAAAAGCTCATGGTGAGTCACTGTCATTGTCTTGATACCTCTGACATTTGCCATTTCTTTCTTTCAAGATTCAACAACCGGAAGTTGCTGAGCAAATTGATACCTTCATTGAAAATTTAAATGATCTTCTCAAGGGGGAGAAACCTTTTAAATTTGTGAGTTATTTTATGCCACTGTCTTGAACTTGTCAATTGTTGATCATTTTATTTCTACCTTCAGAATATCACGATGACATAGCAGAATAAAATAAAAATGTTAGTCTCAGTAAATTATGAATTTTAAAAAATTCCTCCCTTAATATTTTATTCTTTAACATTTGAATTCATGCTTTTGTAAAGTTAGTCTTTTAGTAGCCTTTGTAGGATTTCAATAGTTATTTAATTAATAGTTTTAAATATTTTTCAGATTTTGGATGACCCAAGTGGAAACAGTTTTGTTGAGAATCCATATCCTTTTTTGATATAATGACATGTACTTTGGCATCTATGAATGTCTGTCTGATATCAGTGGTTGATAAAATTGGGAAATTTTTAATTCTTATTTTCTAAAGAACCAGGGTTCCTCAATCGAAAAATTGCTACTGAACTCCCTGTACACCGAATGCCCTGTCCTTAAACAGGAGGTGACAAAAACCATTATTTTTCGTACCTCTGGTCTAAAGGGAATTATTTTTCTTAAATATTTTCATTAGGGCTTAACACCATATCGCACACACTTAGGATCAATTTGGTCTCATTCTAGTGTGATTGCACTTTTGCCTGTGCCTATGAGGTATCTCATTCTCATTTCAATTTACCTGAATGGGGGTGGAGGAGATGCAGTTTAAAAGTGTCCATAAGTAGATCAAATGGAATAGTTGACCTGCTGCTAGCTATGTAATTTTTTCAAATGTGGGGGGGTATTTGATTTTTGTACTATACCCAGAGTTGATTACCAACTTGAACATCATAGATGTATTGTCCCTTTCTTTTATGAATAAGTACCAGATGTCAAGTTCTGCTGACCAAACCTGTAATTCCTGGCAAACACTGGTGTGCCAACTAGAAATGTATTTTCTTGCTTTTTGTTTGTGTGGTGCTGTTGTTGATGTTGTTCTGTCCGTAAGGCATCCAGTGTATTACAGAGCTTTTGACCCATGAGTGCCTCTGCTTTGTATAGGCCATTCCTCACTGCTTCATTTGGTGTTGGCCAGTAAGAAAACAGGAAAACATGCAGAGAGTCGTCTCTGTTGTTGTTCACTCCTCCTTGGCTTTAAGTAGAGCATTTTGAATGTGTCCACAAAATGTTCAGCTTCACCATTGGATTGTGAATGGTAAGATGTTGCCTCGCTATGTGTGATACAGCATAAGATACGGAAGTGACAGAACAACTCTGAATTAGCTTTGTTCTGTCAGTGTTCACACTTGGTTGGGAAGATCTTACATATTTTGACAATATTTTACTCATTGTTATTGTTGTGGATTCCGGGATGAAATCCGGTCTCAAATGAATGACAAACGCAGGAATGAAATATAACAAATAAATGTATTGACCTAATAATACAATTGGTAATACGGTTAGTAGATCCAGAAATGCGGTTAGTAGCAATAATATTATATATACAGTCTGGGAAATTCAGTATCGAAGTATGACTTCCTTCTGAGTCTACGTGCTCGCAACTGTGACTCCTACAAAGTGGTTACCTCACACTCTCACTCTCTCACTGTATCACTTCCGGGTATTCACCAGCAGCAGTACAAGTACACACTGAGCGAGTCCACTTGTATAAAAAGGGGTTGACCCCTTAACAGTTATAAAATAAATCTGAAATTCACAGGTTTTGTATTTATAATGCAAAATTAATATTTTTAATCATGTGTAAATTTATTTATTTTTGTTTGCAAATTTGTAAATAAAATTTATTTGCAATTATGTTCTTTAAATTTGTCTATGAAATTATTTCTCTTTGACTGTGTTAACTCATGCTCCAAAGAAAGATGAAAATATGACTGTCAACCATTACAAACGTTCTCCTGAACAATGTGAAGCCCTTGGAATCCAAGTAAGTTGTTTTTAGTAATTAAATTCAAAACATAAATCTTGATTAATTTTGACTGAATCAAAATCTGATGTAAAATGAATCCTTTAAAATGTTTCTCCCTGAGAGAGAGATATCCATTGAAATATTCAATATTAAGCTGTTCCAGTTTAATATTTGTAACTTAGCTATTTCACCTGAAAATATTGTAACTACTAACTTTATAATATTCTGCACACTAAGTATCATGAATTATTCAGAAGGTAGAAGAAAAAAAACATTTAAAGATTTAAGAACTTTTTCTAATGTCTGTCCTCTTTCCAAGAATGCAAGAGGCCCAGGAATGTTTACTTGAAAGGAAAAAATATTGATAACTGCACTTTTTGTTGGTGATTGGACAGTTGCCATATTTGCAGATTTTGTTTTGCACAAATCTTGTCGATTTTTATTTATTAGAAAAATTGTAAAGTACAAATTTAGAACTTTGTGTTTTTATTTTCGTCAAATTACTTTTGTCTCAGAAGGGCTTATCAGACATTTTAAACATGAAAAACATGCTATCTGTGTTTTTTTTTTTTTGTTTTTTTTGTTTTTTTTTTGTAAGTAAAATTTTGTTTTACAAAAATTGTAAGCTTTTTGTTGGATTAATGGATTTTTATTTATAATCCATAATTGTAATACACACTGTTTAAAAAATAAATGTTTCTGTTTCAAACACTGGTATTCACTAAAAATAATCAGAAGTAATAAAAAAAAAAAAAAAAGCTTTTTATTCTTAAAAAAGAAACTGTTAAGTTTCTATTCTATTTTCACCAAAAAAAAGAGTTTATCAATTGAAATAAAAATATGTGATCTTACATCAGTTCCCATTTCCCCAATTTACAATTTGTTTAACTTTAGCTCACATTTTTTAGTTGTTTTCTGACTCCAAGAATAGTTAATTTAGTATTTTTTTCTTTTTCTTCTTCATAGCCAGAGGCTGATGACAGGACAGTTGTTGCCAGTGCTGGTATCCCTGCTGATAAAACTCTGGATCTGGAGAACGAAGTAAGAGTTTTTTGGTTTTTTTTTTTTTTTACAATGTCTTGAAAATTATGAGAGGTTCTATTAGATTCTAAGGTATTGTTGGGATGTGTCTATGCAGGTTTTCGTTGTTATCTGAGTGTCAGGATTCCAAACATTTAACATCAACACATCTTTTAAATGGAACATAAAAAAGGTTATTTTCTGGAAGAAAAGAAGAAGCAGAACATCAATTGAAATAACATTTATATATGGCACATTTGGTGGAGGAGGAGGGATGTATTCAACATTTGATAATTTATACATGGCAATACATGCTTAAAGGTCTTAGGTAGTTTTTGATCATTTCTTTTTATAGCTAGTAAGGAATTGTAAATGTAGGACTGCCTTACACTTAAGTAAAATAATAACAATAATAAGAATTTATTGCCGGAAATATCAAGTTTTATGGAAACATTGTTGACAATTGTGTATTAATTACATAACAAATAAAAATAATATAAATTTTGATGCTATATTCAATTTGTTGTCAGGTATTTTTCATTTTCTTTGTTATTGGCAGAATTTTAGAATATTTTGGCTGCAATTCTAAGTTTCCTAAGTTGAACAAACTGGAGCTATTTCATTTACGCTTTGTTACCTCTCTTTTCCATTGTTGTTTTTAGATAGCTTTCTTCCAGTCGTTTTGATGGGCAATAGTGAAATTTTGAAATTCAGAATGGTTTTATTCCATTTAAAAATAAAGCCTGTAAAAAGGAATATTTGAAATTAATATATGACCAAAAATAAAATGCTTTTGACAAAAAAACCTCAATGATTTCATTATAATTATGTAACAACAATAATGTAATGATATTCTGCAGACAAATCTATGGTTTATGTTACCTCATCTCATTGCCTGGTTATGAACTATAAACCTAAATTGAGCTTGAAATATTGTGTAATCAGCTTAAATCTTTTGTAAAATACTTGGATATGATATAATAAATAATTTGTAGTGAAAAATGCAAATTTCGATATATATATATATATATTCTTTTTTTTCTTTCTCTTGTTGAACTGAATACACCCCTCCTCTGCTGAAAGCATCATATTCTTTTCAGAAATATACAATAACAATAAAATTTTTGATTTTCCTTGTATTTGTTTGTTTTATAAAGTAATTAAGTCTTCTTAATGTGAATGTGGGAGATGTATGAACAGACTTACTTTATGACGGTCAGCCTAATGTGTTTGTGAATTCATAGACAAAGGCTTTATAGGGAGGGGTTGCTGGTTAATCCCTTCTTTTGTATGTATGGACAAGGGCCATAGTCAGTGGCTAATGGCTGTCTCTCTTTCATTGTATATGTATGCGCATGTATATCAAACTGGCTTCTGAAATTGTTGTGAGCCTCAAGAAGTATGCTTCTATTTTTTTTTTTATATCTGTAAGGAGATTCAAAATCTAATTTCCCATAGAGATGTGAACTTTTTGAATACAACTTTTTCATTAGTTACAAAATAATTTCACAATGGCTCAAGAAAATCTTTTTTTTTGAAATTGCAGAAATGGTGAAGGGAGTTATTATTATTTTGTAAATGGTCCAAAAATAGCATGTAATAGGTCGACAACTACGTCGACAAGTATTTTGGCGGTATTTGCTCTGGTAATGATTGTTTATCCAAAAAACCTCCTGATGGGATTTTATTGGTTAAAATTGTATATAGGATTTAATTCCTATAGTATAAACCAATTTTCCAACCAAATTATATTCTGTTCCCATATCATTAAACATAATCTAACAAAACAAATTCAAATTGTATATTATGCATATGACAAGTGTTTTGTTTAACTGTTGTTTATAGAGACAAGGTAATGAGTGCTGAAATGTTCTTAGCCTCCTGAAATCAAAATGCTCATCCCTCACCAAATTTTGATATTTGATCCAATTTTGGGAGATGGGTTGGGCTGGTAACTTTTCCGTTTAATGTTGAAATAATTTGGTTGTACCTAATGTTCTTTCCTGTTTGCAATTTTGAATATTGGAAATCCTTTTTGTTCTGGACGTTTCTTTTCCTTTTCAATTTGAAAAAGAATTTGACATTCTGTAGTTGTTTCTAAATTTTATATCCAAAGTTACTTCCTCCACCTCCAAAATTCTCTTTACCATGTCTTCCCTGAAATCACTTGGATTGATACAATCAATTGTTTGATTTTCACTCACATGTCAAACTTTGCTTCATAGTCTTATTAAGATGACTGAAATTTGTTTGTAAAAATGATTTCATTTCAAAGAGGATACAAAGGTTATTCCTTAACACTTAATTAAAATGTCTGACAAACTTTTTTGTGTTTTTGCTGTTTTTAAAAAGAGATACATTTCCTTTTATAAATTGCTTGTTTATAAGTTTTATTTTTTTTTTTATTTTTTTTTTTTCAAAATTAGGAAAGTGAAGGTAGTGGCTTATTTTTCCATTTAAGCTCCTTTTGAATGTTAAAACGAGTATAGCATTATTCATGAAGTGATAATGCTATTAGCTGAATAAAGTGTAGTTGATTTAAGTTTAGTGACTGGTTGAATTCTTCATTGATTTAAAATAATTAATTTCTTCCTTAATTCTGACAATTGGTATTTAACTGTCAATATAATTGTTTTGTTTCTTTTACTTTCAGGTGATAGCATTTAGTATCAATTGCCCTTCATGCAATATTCCTTGTGAGACACGCATGAAATTAGTCAGTATCCTTTTTTGTGTGTGTGTGTGTGCTTTTTTATTTTTTTATTTTTCTTTATTTTCTCTTTAAAAATTGAGAATTATTAAAAAAAAAAATCTTTTAAAACTTTTGGGAAATGAATCCAAACCAACCATAGACATTTTTTAAAAAGAAATCCAGAAAACATTTTCTTCTTTGTCATAAGAATAACTCAAAAACAAAAACTGTAATAGTTTTGCAAATTTTTTCTGATTGTTTAAAGTGTTTGTACTCTCTTACCTCATCACTCTTTTTAAACATATTGTTGTGTGTTAACAGTAGACAAGATTTAATCTTAATTATAGTGAGGTTAATTCTTAAGATTGTAAATTATTAAATAATTCTCTTGTGGATGGATTTTTTTCCTCTTCTGAGAAAAGTGGTATTTTTAGGATTTAGTGGAATTATTTGAAATTTGACCATTTACTGCTACTTGCATAACAAAGACTTTGAATAAAGGTATGTATGCTGAAATTCAGCCAGTTGTATATTTGAATAGATTCTCTAAAAATAAGCGAAATCCAGTTGAAGGCAGAAGCAAAAGGAATTATTTGCCTTTTGTCTGATTAATCAGTCTCTTTGATTTTGTGGAATAAGAAAGTGAAAAGAATTCCTCACTCATGTCCTATAATTCTTGTCCAGGCAGTGACTACTATATCTTTTGTTAATTATGACAGATCAAGTTCTCTAGTTGATAAACAAACATAACTACTAATGAAATACAAATGCTTTAACATTGTTGTACATATGCATTATTGTCTCGTTATAAAAATAAAATAATATTTGTTGAAAAATGGATTCACATTTAAAGAGAAGAAATGATTTTATGAATATCTACCTTGCAGAGAATTGTTTTTCTTAACAACGTTTTCAGACATTCCACACTTTAAAGATGTTATCATCATGGCTACGTCCTGTGAGTTATGTGATTATAAAGACAATGAAGTTAAAAGTGGAGGGGCAATTGAAGATAAAGGATGTCGTATTGACCTTCACATTAAGGACACAATCGATTTGTCTCGGGATGTACTCAAGGTAAGATAAGGGACTTTGTTAATTTCTAACTTTGTGTTAATATAAAAAAAAAGGTTCATGTTAACAAGCCTTTACAAGTATGTATGTGTGTGTTGATCAAAGATATTTATTTACATTTCAAGCTTTTTCAGCCAATCTGAATACCCAGAAACAAATCTTGTCTCTTATTTGACTTTCTATAATGCGTCATTTCATTCCATTGCATAAACCCATCCTGGGTATGACGATAAACTATATCCACATCCAGAGTAAGATGATAAACTATGTCCAACAGCAAGGCCTCTGATCAGGAGGTGTGTGGAACCACCTCTTAATTGCTGGTGTTCCCAGGTCCACCCTAACCTGAGGTGGTAGCACCTGTTAGGGCTATGGGCAAATAGTTAACCCTGAAACTGAGGTAAAAAGCATTATAAAAATGTAGAAATAGGTTTTAATACCAGAAATACATTGTAAAAAATTATTACCAGAAATAAATTTTTGAAGAAAAAAATATTACCAGAAATAGATTTTTAACAAAACAATAATATTACCAGGAAAAAAAAGTTGTCAGCATTAAATGACCCATTGAGGTTGATATGCCGTAAAACAAACCAAACCAATCCATTGCATAAACCCCAATCGTATTCTTGGTCAGTTGTTTGTCCGAGTCAGAATGAAGAAAAAAAACATGCCATCCCCTTAGGAGGGAAAAACAAAAGAAGTAAATTTTGAGCCAAGCTTAACCAAGTAATGGTTATTTGTTGACGAGTAGTTTTCCTTCTTCAGTTGCTTTTCATTGCAACTCCCTATGTTCAGACTATCAGTCTACATGTGTCAGCAAACAGCATTAATAATTAGAATTAAAGAATAGTCTCTGAGTGAGACTAAAATTAAGAGGGAAGAAATACTCATTATAAAAATAATAATTAATAATGGTTTATCTGAGAGAGGGGGGGGAAAAAGGTCATGGTAGCAAACTGAAATTGTTTTGATTTCAATTAATGATCATTAATCAACCTCCAGTCTTTCTGCAATATGTCATGTTGTCTCTTGGTATAATTTCTCAACTTATGGACGTATGGGTAGTGCAATGGACAGTGGCTCAGAATGAGGAATCAGAGAGAATGAAGATATGAATCCATCTCCTCCCCCCAGATATGGATTAAATAGTAGAACCTGTATCTAGAAAATCAAAGAAATGTTAATGTAATATTCATTCACAAAAAGAAAAAATTATTCTTACAATTCTAAATATGTTTTGACTTTAACCCAAATTGTGTTGATAACCCATAAAAATCAATCAAAAACTTTTAAGTTGAAGTAAAAATGCATAAAAAGTAGTAATGGCATGAAAGTTAATCTGAATTGATTGCTTTCCCCTCCTCCATTGACAACGCATGCAAAAATAAATTGAGAGGATATAATATTGACATAGATACAAAAACAACAATCATTGTCCTTTGTTGTAAGGATTTGGTAAGCAACAAAGATGAAGACATTAGTCTGAATGCAAATAATGTAAATGAATTTATTGATATTTAATAATTGTTGCATTTTTGTTAATCCTTTTTTTTTTCTTTTCTTAAGAGTGAAACAAGCAGTGTTTCTATTCCTGAATTGGATTTTGAAACACAAATGGGGACTCTTGGTGGCAAATTCACAACTATTGAAGGTCTTCTCAATGACATTATTTCAGCTGTAAGTAAATTGAATTTTTTTTTTAAATACTTGTCTTTAGCTAACCCAACAAATACACACACTCTCTAACTTGTTTGAACTAATGGGAAGCTTTTTGGATATTCAATAATTCCAATAATGTTTATGATAGCATTTCTTATGTCTTCTTCTGAATGAATATTGGGTTGATATTGAATCCATCAACAAGTTAGATTCTTTTTTTCAATTCTAATTATTTTTCCTGACCTTCTATGAAGTCTGTCTTTATTCTTTGCATTTTTTTCTGTTTGATTTCAACAGCATGATTATTTTTAAAAGCTGCAAAATAGTTAAAATTAATCTGACTCATGGTGAAAATAGTGGGGCACTCAGCAAGTTGATGTAGAAGGCAAACTTGTTAATTCTTGTGCAATTACCCCAAGCTACAGAGTTTTTTCTTTTTTTTTTTAAGAAAGACTTTCTGTCTCTTGAAATTAATAAAACATTGTGATTACAATTTGCATTTTGATGAGGCTAAGTTGATAAAATCTATCAACATCAGATTCATGCCAAATTGGTTCATAAATAGCAACAATGGAACTGGTTTGTGATTAGGTTGGATTTCAGCATTAATCTAACATGTTAGAACTAAAAAAATACTTCTCAGTAATGACCCATATAGATATTGATGTAACAGAAAATATTTTTGTACATCTGTTTTCCTTATGTTTATTCGTCCTGGGTATGATGATAAACTACATCCACATCTTGGGTATGACGATAAACTATGTCCAACAGCAAGGCCTCTTATATTATGTTTTTGAAAAAATAATGTTGTCAGCTGTACGTTTTTGAAAAATATTACCAGCTATACGTTTTTGAAAGAATGGTGTTGCTGGCTATACGTTTTTGAAAAAATATTACCAGCTATACATTAATGAGGAAAAAAATATTAACAGAAATAGATTTTTGACAAAACAAAAATATTACCAGGAAAAAAAAAGTTGTTGGCATTAAATGACCCATTGAGGTTCATATGCCATAAAAAAAACCAAACCAAACCTTATGTTAATATTTATTTTGAGAAAACTAAATAAATAACAATTAGAAAAGCCAAACTGATTACTAATAAGAAATCAAATACAAACTTTAACTACATATGATCCAATTAGAGATTTCTTTACAGCAGGAGTGGGCAAACTGCAATCCAACTGATTATGCAGCTCGCAACAAACATTTAAATGTCCGTTAAAAACATTTTAGTATTTTTTTTGTTACATGTTGCACATAATAGCAATCTAGTCAAAACCAGAACAAAGATGGAAACCATGTATATTTAATAACAAATGCCCAGTTCTCAAGAAACTTAATTCCTACAAAATCAACATATCATGTTATATACTACCACAAGCACCTGGATCTCTATATCTCACACTATGTCTATGTCAAGGACCAATCGTTAGCACAATGGAATCTGACATAGGGATCTAGGTGACTGTGTGTACACTAATTGAAGATAAACATATAATGTCATCTCTGTGATTCCTTATAAACGTCTCACAAGATTTTTATCATGAATTTCTTATTATTGTAAAAGATTTTTCTCACCTATACAAATCTAATTAATAGTAATAAATTTATTAAATATTAGATTAATTTCTCATACATTTGGACAGTTTGTTCACAAAATGTGTCTACTAAGTAAATAAATGTAAAAATAATGTGTTTGTATGATTGTTATTTATACTGGTGCTGTAAAAATAGTTATTGCAATGCTGTTCACTTTACATAGGGCAGACAATGATGTGGTATGTTTTTCCATGAAAAAAAACTTTGTCTATCCATGTCTTAGAGTTTATACATTTGATGAGGTGGATTTTTTTTTTTTTTTAAATGAAAAATGATTTGTTTTTAGGTTGTTTTTTGTGTTTTTTTACTTAGACAATTTGTTTTTGTATTTCATTTTTCAATCATCAATTCTTAAGCTCTATGTAATTTCTCTTCTCATTACTACAGACAAAAAAACTTTACTTGCACCAATAATTAACTCTTGTTTTTTTTTGTTTTTTTTCTTTGTAGCTGAAAACTGAAAATCCTTTCTGTTTTGGGGATACTGCTCAGGATTCTTCAAAAAAAAATCTCGAAAATTTTTGTGAAAAAATAAATGAAGTGAGTAAGGTTTTGATCTTGAAATGTGTGTTTGGAGAAGGTCATGTTGGGGATGTTTTTAAAATTCTTTTTCTGTTTTTATAATTTATCTGGTTGCTTCCCTGACCCTATATTTATGCTTTAATATTTCACTTGATGCTTAAAGTATTGGTGCTTAAATTTAAAGTCACTAATGATTATGATTCAGTCTTTCAATCCTTTCATCCGAATCAAGATGAGAATGTCCAAAATAATCACTTCATGTCAGTGGAAAACATGAGCCCAAGAATGCACAAAGTGTTGCTCTCCTAGAGTTTAGCATTGGCCATGATGATGGCAGGCAAAAAAAGGTTCTCTGTCGTGATTAAATGAAAGCAGTTTTGTTTTGGAGGCATTAAAATTTACAAGCTATTCCTTGCTCCAGTTAACCATTGATTGGAGGTCCTTTATTGAGAGCAGTTGCAAGATTTGCATTGGATTTGCTACTAAGACAGGAGTAAATACTTGTCATCTGCATAAATACCTAGTTGGGAATTGATGCCATCGGGACGGTTGTTGATGAAGATCAGAAACAGCATAGGTTCAAGGATAAATCCTTTAGGGCCCCTATATTAATATGAAATGATCTAGAAGCATGCCTGTTCAATATGACTGCCATTACATGATTTGTTAGGAATGATTGGCTTAAGCTAAATATTTTCCCAGAGATGCTGTAGCCCTTGAGTTTATGGAGATGGCAAGTATGTCAAACCATATCAAATCATATCTAGAGTCACAGCCTAAGCTTTGCTGTACTTTTTATTAAGCTTCATAGACAAATTCAGTGGTGGCAATTGGCAGTAGACCTGGTGAAACAGAAGCCATATTGTTTATCCAAAAGGAGGCCATGTGAATTAAGATGTTTAACCAATTCGGCATTAATTAGAGCCAAAAAGTGCTGATTGGGTTCCCGGAGTTCTTAAAAGCAGGAATTACAGAGAAAGACTTCCAACAAGCTGGAAATAAAGAAACAGGCATTTATTGTAAAGTTTGGAGAGAACAGGAACCAGTTAAAGTAGCATATTTCTTTAGAACAATTGCAGGGATACTGTTGAATTCACAAGCTTTGTCAGGATCTAGTTTAGAAATGATAGCAGAAACTATGGACCGAGTTATGTCCATATCACTCAGTAGAGACTCTGTTCTAGAGGGAAAATCAAGCAGAGATACTCCAAAAAATACGAAGCTTATTTTGTTTTGAAGCTTCTAACCTTACAGAAAATAACCAAATACAAATGACATCTGTTAACAGACATTAAAAGTACAAAACAATGGAATAAACATTGTTGGTTATCCTTCACTAACATCCTGATACAAACTGTGGTGTATGGCACACAAAATCTGGTCATTTGAATAAGAAAACTGAAAGTTATGGGTTGGTGCCTATCAGATTGGTTTAGGTTTATTTTATTTTACAGCAAATCAACCTCAATGGATTATTTAATGCCGAAAACATTTTTTTATTGCTGGTAATATTTTATTTTGTCAAAAATCTGTTTCTGGTAATATTTTTCCTTCAAAATTGTATTGCTAGTAATAATTTTTTTCATAAAAGTATTGCTGGTAATAGTTAACTATTTGCCCATAGCTGGGACCCCTAACAGGTGCTACCACCCTGGATCAGGGCAGACCTGGGAACACCAGCAATTAAGAGGTGGTTCCACACTCCTCAAAACCTCCTGATCAGAGGCCTTGCTGCTGGATGTAGTTTATCGTCTTACCCAGGACACAGATGTAGTTTAACGTCTTACCCAGGATGGTGCCTATCAGAAAGAAACTTATCACAGTAAGATGGTTTGAAATATTCCCTTCTCAAAAACAATGTTTTTCAAATGATATAAATTTGAATGTCTTTTTTTTTTTTTTTTTTATCAAAAGAGATAAAATTGTTAACAGGGAAACAAATGATCATATTAGAATCATAAAATCTTTTTACCAAGAGAAAGACTTGTTTTATTCAGTCGTGCTAGGTTGGACATTTATGAGTCTATCACGGTTCTGCATCAAGGTTGGAAGGTCATTAGGGTGGCATTCTGTGTCATAACATAGCTGGTCAATGTAGGTATTTGTGGAGTAACCAGCTCATCTTGGGTCCATAGAACTGTGATTTAGTTGGATGTTGTCTCCAAGTATAGCTAAGTAAAGTTAAGTATAGCTCTCGGTATCTGTGCGTAGGTTCCCTCAAGCTAAGGTTTTAGTTAATATCCAAGCAGTGCCACCATACATTAACACTGGTGCCAAAGAATTCCAGTTTTTGGTTGTCTGCTAGATCTGATTTCCAGATTATATCCATTTTATTCAAGGCAGTCCCGTCTTAAGCTATGCAAATTTTCACATCCGTTTCAGTAATCAATATTTTTTATTTTTCTTTATGCAACAATTCAAAATATTTCAATTATTCACAAGGAAAAATGTAATATGTTATTTTTTTTATTATCATTATATGCTGCATTGTTAAACATTAATTTTTGACTTCTTTTTATCTGAATGTTAATTGCTTTTCACTACAATTTACACTGTTAACTGATAGCAGTTAATAAATAACTTGGATTAGAAATTGATAAAGAATACTCTCAGGCAAGATTTGAACTTCTATCTACCTATGTACAATAGTGTATTTTTTTTTCTCACCTTTTTTAGAAAATCAACATTGCACTCAATGTAAAACCTGGGGGTCTGATGTAATAAGTACTGGTACCAAAAATTAGATTCATAGATTTTAAGTTTTAAAGATCATCTGAACAATATACAGAAATACCTAATTTCTGCAGGTTTCTGCTTACAAACTGACTTCAAAATTTTAATATTTCAAAAATAAATCCAATTAGTTAATATTTTTTTGTATTAATTCAAACCAGAATTCTAATTATGAATCATTGCAAGCAAAATATGCATTTTTTTTATCCTATTTGATAAGTAAAAACAGTGAAAAAAAAAAATTGTAAAAGATAACAATCTTTTACAATTTTTTTTTTTTTTACTCAATGCTACTCAATGAATAAGATTTGTTAAATCATAATTAATAAAAACAAAAAGTAGATAAAAATGAATATAACATTATAATATTGTTGGGCACAAATTATAAGACGAAATGTTTTAAATTTGCATTGTTTATTGAAAATCACCTAAAACTACTACACTGTATAACATATTACATCATCATCATAGCTAAATTGTTCAGTATAATTTCCCTATGAAGTAAATGAAAATCTTATTTGATAACACAATGATTTAGTAATAATGTTCTTGTGCTTTGAATCTTGTCCATATACAATTTGTAAAACTTCACTAAATTATAAATTTTATAAGGCTGTACTATAAGACTTTGGCTGATCACCAGAATAAAATTCCAATGCTATAATTTTGAACCTAAACTTAATCTTTAAACTCATTTATTCAAATGGTAAGGATTTGTAAAAAAAAATATTTGGTATCATTATTTATAATGTCAAACTCCAATTTTCAAATTGAGTGCAATACCATGGTTTCAAAATTGACTTTTATGACATTAATCCATACAATACCCTACAATTTCTTAAATCAAACTGTATTCCAAAATATAACTTCAACATAAACCATATATATCACTGCCTCTAGTAATTACAGCCACATAAATATGTATATGCACAAAAGCTGAGTATCATCTACCATGTATTCAATTGTGAAAGCAGAATAATATATATCATATTTTTATTATACCCAAGAAAATTAAATTTCAACATTAAATGACCCATAAGGAGTTGATATGCTGTTAAACAAATCATTATCTGTTAGGGTGGGGGTGGCTTGGAGGAAATTGCCATATTTGCTGAAGAAGTGGGTAGTTAACAATAATAGAAAAGAAATTTTTAATTTTTAGATGAAGCCTTGTCAGCCTTTATTAATTTTTGACTAGTATTTCTTTCTTTTTAATTTTACTTGCTTTTCATTGCAATATTTTGACAGGCTCAGTAAGTTATAATGGAAAGCAACTTATCAAAACTTAATAAAGGAAATTCTAATTGAAGCTAACAGACAATCTTGAACAGAATCAGTTTGTTGGTATATACATCTCTCCAGGTTTCTTCTGATCACTTGTGAAATCAATGTCACTACATCAAGTTGCTGCACTTTGACAGGCTTGAGAGTGGGGGGGGTCTACATGATACATCTAACCCATGACTTTTGGCACTTCAGTGTAATCATGTTAAATATTATTTATCTAATGGAATTTTTCAAAAAATAAAAGTGCACCTCATGGTTTTTGTAACTGAAATTTTCTACTGAGACATTTTTTAAATTGGTTTCATTATTTTTCTGAGTGATTTTTGTTTCTTCTTTCTTTTTTTTCTTTTTTTACCCCTGCCCCCCCTTTTAAAACTGAGCACTATGCTTTTGATACTTGAACTGTTCCTTATGCAGATAATTTTCTAAAAATATTATTTCATTTTAATTTTACATAATGGTAGACAATAGTATGAAAATTTGTAATCTATTCTCAACAAATTTCATTCAAGTCTTAATTGTAAATTTTTTTTTTCTTTTTTTTCAAGATCATCGAAGGCAAACGGTTGGATATTCACTTTATTCTAGATGACTCTGCTGGAAATAGTTATATACAGGTACTGTTGCTGTGTTAAACTATAAATATATTTACCTTGTTCATTATATAGATATTGAAAATTTGCACTTAGAAAATAGATCTTGATGAGTGAAAATATACTCTCTCTCACACACACATACACACATATCAGGTTTTGTAAAAATTTCTAAATCAGACCAAGAAATAAATTCTGATGTTGGTGTGATATTTCAGCACCCCTATGAATATATAAGAATGTTTGTTTCAGTCTTTAAAAAATATTAATTATGCAAAAAGTTATACAAATTGTTTACACTTAATTTTTAAGCTTAAATTTTGAAATAAGTGGGGAAAACTTTTTGTATTCATAACCAAATTTTCTGTTAACAATTTCTAAACAGAATTTTGTAAAAATTGAGGGGCAATATTTTTTTTATATCCTTTATGCTGTTGAAAATTTTTAAAAAATTCAATGTTCACCTGCAATTCCTTTGGTTTAGCATTTCACTCTAGCCAAAATAAATTTCACAGGTGATTCCAAGGAGACATGACCATCTCAGAACACAATTACTAATTGCACAGTAATCTATCTATATATAAAAGTCTGTGACCCTATTTACTCTGTCCATCACACTTTCTAAAATAGCAATACATTGACCGATCAAAACCAAATTTTTGGGAGAAGTACAAATGGGTATGGGGGTTACAAAGTACAGTTGGTTTTACTAGGGTGTGTAACTTAGTACAATAAATCTTCATTAATTTTGGGGGGAAAATTAAAAGTTTTATTATTTAACATACAAAATACTTCCATGTTTTAAAAACAATTCAATGATTAAAAATAATCAATAGTTATTTAATAAAGATGCAATATTGTTTTGTTTTTTTGGGTTTTTTTTGGATATCTATTCTTTAAATTTTTATATATACGGGAATTAAGTTTCCAGTTCATCCTGCATTTGTGAGAACTATAAACAGATCACAAGGCCAAACACTTCAAAAAGTTGGAATTTGACTCTAGAAAGAAATATTTACACAAGGCTAGTTGTATGCTAAGAGTAAGAAATCTTAAGAATTTATTCTTCACTGTTAAAAAAGAAAAAATGAATTCCCTTAAAAAAATATTGTTTGTCATGAAGTCCTGTAAAATTAAAGAAATTATTAAATTGCAAAGTAGGGTTTTTGTCAAAGTATTTTTCCAAACCAGCTTACTCAAATTTTATCAATTGGCTTGCAAAAGTGGGCGACACGTAGAGTTTGTAAATCTCGATAAAAAAAATGTTAGTAATAACTTCAACAATACTAAATGCTGTGAGGATTTCAACATGTATCAGTGTGTTGCAAAAAAATTCTAATTGTAAAAAAAAAAATCAATAAGTATGGTGCATTTTGAGTACATCTGTTCAAAATTGATCTTTATAAAATATAAGATTTGAAATCTGATTGTCAAAAACAAATCTTTGAGAAATTACACCAAATCTGAATTTTTAATTTTATTTTTCTGTATAATCAAAAAGAAGATAAAAATATAATTTGTGGAATTTTCTTCTTTTTTCATATCTTGAAATGCATGAGATTCATGATGATGCCAGTCTTGGTCTTAAAATAAAAATAAGAAAAAAAATTGTACATTATCATCTATACATGAATTTTTTTTTTAATTCAACACATAAAAAAAAATATCAAAACAAATGTTTCTAGCCATTCATCTCAAAAATCATTATCCATTTTTATTTAATTTCATACTGTGTACTCAAAACAAAATATCAGGAAACTTGTTATTGTATATCCAGATATTATCTTAGTGTACAGAACTTTTACTTTTTCAATGTAACTGATTGTAATATCATTTCTGGTTGTTGAAGAAAATCTCCCAAATCCTGGATGTCTTGATTCCAGCCACCAACGTCACATTATTGCTATGACAGTCCAGATCATGTAACACTATAGCTAAGTGAGATTATCCTGGGGTCAGTATCTTGGTTATAGTGCCAAATGTAATGCTGGAGGTAACAGAGGGTCTCATGTTCCGCTCACTGGTTTGGTGATGTCTTGAACAGAAGACTTCCCTTGAATATTAGAATATCTGAAATCCCAAACTCAGGATTGAAATATTGCAAACCCGAGCCAGTCACATGTCACTCAAAACTAAAGTTGACAGATTCCAGAGTTTGATTGGAATCTTGGAATGAAGAAGAATACCAGAATCCCTTTTACAAGATTCTAACAATAAGCAAATTTTTCTATTTGTCAAGTACTTAGGTGTTTCAAACTGGCATCTTCCTTTCCCAATGTTTGCTAGCAACGTGTAAGGGCCTAGACCTTGAGTCTCTTCTTTGCATCTATGATGACTATAGATCAATGATTGGATAGTTCATCTTTATGTGAGAGTGTTGTAGCATACCTACAGATAATAATGTGTATGTCCCCATTCATATAAATATAGTAGTAAATACTGTATGTTGGTCTGCAGTTAGAGATTCATTGTGGAATTCACTAGAGTCACTTCCAGCAGTTGACTACTACTTTTACGCGCTGCTGGCAAATCTTATATGTGTTGTTCTTGTCCTAAGTATTATCATTCATTACCAACCTGGTGTGATTATTCTATTCAGTAACCTTCCCTTGGTTACAACAGAGAGAAAAAAAATTGGCTTGCTACGAAGATCTGTTCTTAAAAGTCTTTCTGAAACCATTATCTGGGAAATTTTATTTCTAGCAAATCACTTGACCCTGTCATTTTTATAGCATCCATATAGCCATGCCTTGCCAATATGGGAAATTCTTGTTTTCTTTTTCTCTCTGCAGTTTTTAATCTCACTCCATTTTAGATTGCTCATATAAACCACATATGGGAATCCAATCTGCTAGTTTGTTACTGATGATATATTGGTTTTGTTTACTGATACTGAGACATTTGGAAGGGGTATGGCATGTGGAACTAGAACAATATACCCCTGGTGGCTAAAATAAAGGTTTCAGTTCAAAATTTCAATCACTTAAAGAAGGCCAGATTGTACAACTGCTGAAATGTTGTGAATATGACAATGAAGATCAAGTCAACTGCTTGAACAATGTAAATATTGTAAATAATTACAATACCTTATCTCAGAAAAATAGACTGGTTCTGTTTAATTTCACACTTACATGGTCCTTCCTGTGAGACTACAAGCAAATATGCTTTTATGTAAACAAACCACACAGCCCATTGGCATTGGTAGAGTTGTGTTTTTTTTTCTTTTTTTATAAAGCCCTTTTCTTTGAAATTATTCTGCCTAAGAAATCACACAAATCTGGTGGATAGGTCTTTATTGGTAAACATTGTTTTGATTTGTAGAAATTTATATATCATATTCTTCCATAGGTCTTTATGTAAACAACTTAGTCACAAGGGCTTTAAGAGAGAATTTTTGATTTGGGCTGAGGAAGTGATTTATTACTTGTCATCATTTTTACCATTTACTTTATCACATAATGTTAAACTCTTGAAAATAATGTGAAATTTCTAACTAAACCATTAGTTTCCTCATCAATGACTCAGGTTAAATTTATAAAAGAAAATTTTACTAAAATCTGTATTTAAAAGAATTCTTTTTTAAAATAATGTCATCTTTAAAATAACATTGCTTTTTCCAAAGAACAAATATTTTTTAATACAGTTCCAATTAATTTTTAATGTGAAGTCAAGTGTTTTCACTACTTTTCATGTCTTTACCTAATAATTTATCTTGAATTTCACCGAACTGTGAATTTTAATATGTAAGTAAAATTTACTGAGAAATCTGTTACCCAGAATTGAATTTTAGCAGGATTAAGAGATATGTTTAAAAACAAAGAAGTTATCTTTTTACTTCTTTATTTTTGTTTGTTGCTTTGTGTGTGTGTGTGTGTGTGTGTGTGTGTGTATATACACTAAGTTCCAATGCTCTTTGATCCCACTACCACCACAAAATTTTACACATATCTATTTAGGTATATCTATTTGAGTATGATGATAATGTACATCTGGTAGCAAGGCCTCAAATCAGGAGATTGGAGGTTTTGAGGAGTGTGGAACCACCTCTTAATTGCTGTTGTACCCAGGTCCACCCTGATTCAGGGTGGTAGCACCTGTTAAAAAATGGTTATGGGCAAATATAAGAACAAAAAAAAAAAAAAGAAAAAACACTACAAAAGTATAAAAATACATTTTTATAATAAAATGACCAACAATACATTTTATCTGTAGTTGAAGGCATACACTTGCATTCAAAATATATTTAGTTGAAGCCATAAAATTGTTTTAAATATTTAAATTTCAGCATTAAATTACACATAGAGATGTTGATATGCCACTAAACAAAAACAACAAACATGGATTCCTTCATCATTTGCTATTTGTAAACACTACCTGTGTGTGTTACAAGAATACAGTCATTAGATGAACAAATGTATAATGTACATGTCTTTTAGCATTTGGTCTTTTGATTTAACTAACTGAATTTTTCCAATTTTTCAGGATCTTTGTTTCCCAGAAGAGGATCCCAACCTGAAAATTACTCATTATGAAAGAAACTTTCAACAAAATGATGAGTTGGGCATTAATGACATGAAAACTGAAAACTATGAAGCATCTTGATGTTTGTGAAGATTGAATTATTTTATTCAATATTATCAATTTAGGTTTTTACTTTTGGTCAAGAAATAAATTTTTATAACCATTTGGAGAGCAGAAGTCATAATTTTAACTTCCATGCCCAAATTTCTTTGTTTTTCACCTTAATTTCTTCTCATAGCTTAAAGACTTTTTTTAAGCAGATATTTTTTGTTCTTGTGAAATAAAAGATCTTTTCAGGTCCTTTTTGCTCTGTATTTCATACACACAAAATTATTGCTCTATTTTAAGTGTTTAGTTACCATTTTTTTTTTTTATCTAAATGTCTTCAAATGTATTACAAGAATATTTTTCAAATAAAATTCGCTATGAAAACTGTTGAAATTTATTTGAATGTTTGAGGAAAAAAAAAGGAAAGCTTTTAATTTATTTTTCCTTTTACACTGAACATTTTACACTGAAATATTGATTTCACAGGGAAAATCTCTTTCCCCAAGGGAGACAACTCTACTATATTTACATTTATTTATGCTCAATACACACACATTAGATAAGTGAATGTTGTTAAGTAAATGCAAATTACGATAAAGAAATTTTTGGCATTAAATCTTTTATTTCAACAAATATTTCTGCTGTGCTAGAAGAACTGACTTGTACATTTAAACTGTCAAATAAAAGAACAGGATTAAAAAAAAAAAAAAAAATGATTGCATTTAAATTTTTTGAAGATTTTAGTGACAGGAAAGCAAAAAGCCAGAAGAGTCCCTCAAGTAAGAAATGAGATGAAACTATTAGAATAGAACTTACAGCTACACCGAGCAATTTCAACAGGAAAATGATGAGACCCATCTGCCAATATAGTACAGCGATTAAATTCAAGAAGTTGAGCTACCAAAGGAAAGATCATCAGAACAATTGCCATGAAAATATTTATAAGAAATGTACAAGGAAGCAATATTATTGCTGTCAGAAAGTGATTGATGATGAGATGATGCCAGGTCAGGACCAATAATGTTGCAGATTCTTTTTTGAATCCCCCTACCTTTTTTTTTTTTTTTAAATAGTATTTTCACGTTGTTTAGTAAATTTAGAAATAAACAGATCAGAAAGAAATTAAAATGAAAAATCTTTTTACCTTCTTTTCTAACTGGGTCAATGTCATTGTCCATTAAAATGCAAATATACACTCCTCTGCTTTACATTATGTAATCCTGAGGTGTAAAATATATATATAAATAATTTTGTTTATACTTTATTTTTATAGATACAAATATTTAAGTAAATGCTCTGTTCATAATAACCAGACACTTCCTCTGTAGCTAAATGGTAGAGCACATTAGGCTATATGGTGGTTCCATGTAGGATACAGATTCAGTTCCTGTTGGAGGACACATTTTCTTTGAGATTTCTTGGACAATCAAACCAGTAAATGTTGTTTAATACTGTTTATCATAAACGGGGCATTTACTTAAATATTTGTATCTATAAAAATGACGTATAAGCAAAAAATATATTAAAATAATTGTTGGACTTTAATCCATTACATATAATATATATACAATATGAGAGAAGCACGTTTTGTCTGCTTATTTTCAACATATTCATATTTTTGGATGAGCTTTCTGGTGTCTGTATTAAAAGAAGAGAGAAAATTACTGTGTTGATACATATTGTTTTATTCTGAGTACTTTTGACATTAAAACATTGTCATCGTCTAAGTGTGTTTCTAAAACAAAAATGCTAGGAGGATTAGCAGTCACCATTAAGTGGTGCAGTTTAAAGTCTTACGCAGGACTAGGACATTTTTTAATACACAAATTCCTTACTGGACCTCTTCTTGATTTTTCACTTAATTCTCTGAGAGCCAGTGTTTTGCAATTCTTCCATACTTTCTAACATCAAGAAAAGTTCCATAGGAAACAGAAGTTCATTATTTACATTATTCGGCCTATTGTCGCCATATTTATCATTAACGTTTTTGGCCGCCATATTTACTCCGGCCTTCTTCAGGTGGTTGGAATGTCGAACTGTACCCTTTATTTCACTCACTGGGGTAGACTGTTCTAGTTCCACGTGCCATGTTTAATGGATTTAGTTATCTCCTGTTAATTTCCCTCTGAAAATTCTCCACTGCCTTAACCGGGTATTGAACTCACACTCTTTGAGTCCTGTCACTGGATCTAATCAATGCCTTTATCCACTATGCCATGTGTCTTTGAGGACATCTGGGTATGAATTTCTGGGTAATATAAACCTAATGTCCTCAGCCACCATTTTTACCAGTGCTCATATTGCAATTTTGCTTTTATCACATCATGTTTTTACCAGAGTTCATATTGCAACTCTGTTGTTATTGTTTTTCTCTGGAACTCCTTATTACTGGTTCCCATATTGTATTTATTTCTATGCTTGGTCAGCTCAGGAGATTTTTGTGGCCTAGCATATGTGCTGATTCCTTAAGTTTACGAATTTTCCAATAGTGTTCCTTGTCTATGCTCTCAACATGATCCCACAGAGGGTGGTGATCTCCCTTCTCTCTCCATATGTGGTCAGCCACGCCTGATTTTTCTACTTCCCCTCATGTTACAGCTTTCCAGTATTCTTGAAGCCTTACCTTGAGGGGTCGGCTTGTCTCTCCTTTATATTCCTTTCCGCAGCTTTCCTTTATAATTTTTGAAGGAATTTGCTTCCACAGGTTCGAAAAGAAATGGACATCTTCCTGGTTGTAGTGTGTAATACACACACACGTGGAACTAGAACAGTCTACCCCAGTGAGCGAAATAAAGGGTTCAGTTTGACATTCCAACCACCTGAAGAAGGCTGGAGCATACAATAGCCGAAACGTGATAAATATGGTGACAATAGTCCGAATAATGTAAATAATGAACTTCTGTTTCCTATGGAACTTTTCTTGACGTTGTGATAAATAGGGCAACAAAGATGAGGTCAATAGTCCAAATAATGTACATAATACCTCATCTCAGAAATATAGACAGACTCTGAAACAGAAGTTGTATGTTATGATTCTTATAAGATGCATCTCCTTTACCTATGTGTACAGAATGTACATATCCATAGAAAAATTCAGTCACCCTGCAAAGTTTCCAGAATGGTCTGGCATTTGCAAGATTTTTAATACTCTATCATCTACTTGTATTTTATTATTAAAATCCATATCATGTAGATCTTTGTGACTTTCTTTTAAATTCAAGAGGTATTCCACATTCCATAACTCTATAAAGTTAGTTAACAATTTCTACCTTTCAGTAAAAGCATCTAATAACTGATACCTGGAAGTAGGTTTCATTTCAGATCCTCCAGAATCAGTTTTCACAGAATTTCTCCATTAACATTAGGATGTAAGAAGACATTGAGTGTTAATGGTAATAGTTCACTATTTATATTATTTGAACTATTGTCCTCATCTTTGTCGCCATATTAATTACATTTTAGCCGTTATACACTCTCTAACTAACACCTTTATCCACTGTGCAAGGACACATGGCACTGTGGATAAAGGCGTTAGTTAGATCCAGTGACAGGACCCAAAGTGTGTGAGTTCAATACCCGGTTAAGGCAGTACTTAGAGAGGGGAATTAACAGGAGATAACTGATCAGTGAGATTCATCAGACATGGCATGTGGAACTAGAACAGTCTACCCCAGTGAGTGAAATAAAGGATTCAGTTCAACATTCCAACCATCTGAAGAAAGCTGGAGCATACAACGGCTGAAGCGTTGTAATAAATATGGCAACAAAGATGAGAACAATAGTCCGAATAATGTAAATAGTGTACATAATACCTCATATCAGAAATATAGACAGGTAATATTTTCAGTATCAGATGTATTTCATTATTTTAGAGGTATGAAGCTTATAACCCTTTGAATGTCAGAGATCAATGAAGTTGAAAATAATCAGTTTTAAAATATTTTTCCTTTAAGTTCTTACTCCAGCAATTCCAAACTTAATATCATTTTTTAAATTTCCCTTAGAGTCAATAAAGGCTTTAACTCCTTGTAATTACCCATCTTGAAATAGACAATGAATTAAAATTATACATATATTTTTTAATCATATTTTGTCTGAATTTATTTCACTGAACAATGAAGATGGGCAAAATTATTTTAATTATATATTGGAAGCCAGGTGTGCATAATAATTTCACTGAATGGTGGAGGCAAAATTATTTTTATTTATATATTGGATGACACTTGTTCATAATAATTTCACTTAACTGTAAAGGCAAAAATTACTTTTATATATTTTCATATATAAAAAAAACAGCAGCCTAGGAGTTATTTTATCTCACAGTGCCTTTATGCTCAAATCTGTCTTGTTTTGTTTTTTAAATTTCTCATGTCATCATGCCAACGAATTGCTTTATGCTTTCAGCAAAATTGCACACATGTATATGTGTCAGTTTGAAAATTGACTGAAACATTTATCTGATACTGTTCATATTTTTCATCTAATGTGTGTCTATGCATTATTCATGGCCAGCATCTCCTGTTCTTGGAGTAAGCTAAAACACATGTTCTATTTATGGTTATCAAGGCCTCTCAACTTTAGTACCTAAATTCCATTTGGCGCCTAATTTTGGGTTTTACCCATTACTATCAGATAAATGGACACATCTTTCTATCAGCAGGTGTTATCTACCAAGGGGAGATAACCTATATTTTTTTATAAATGATGTCAAGCAAGGTAACCTTGTCGCACCTACATTGATCTCCATTTTCTTTTCTATTGTTCTTCTCCATGCCTTTAAAGAGTGGAAGCAGAAAATATATATTTCATATCACAGAAGTGTTAAACTATTCAAGATTTGATGTTTCCCTGCAAAATCTAAAACATTATAAGCTCTTATCTCAGCTCTTCTGTATATCAATGACTGTGACTTGATCACCAAAACAGAACAAGGAATGTAGGCTATGATGGATAATCATTCCTATTACTGAAAAGCTTTCAGCCTCACTATCAGCCCGGGTAAGACAGTGGCCATGTTTCAACTTGCTCCAGGT